TGCTCCTTGGAGAAGGCCCTTGGCCTTGCAGCATGGGTTCCCTGCACTGCTGCTAAAGCGAGCCCTGCACAACTTGCCACCAGCTGCTCGCCATCTGCATGGTCCCAGGATGCATGCTGGGGACTACAGACCTCTGTGCCAGGCAGCAACTGAGCAGGAGCTGTGGCCCTTTTCCTGGTTCCTGGAGTGAGGTCCAAGGCCTTGAACTTGAGATGGACAGCCATGTCCTCCTAGGGAGGGTATGGCAAGGCCTGAGTATAACCAAACCCACTGGGGAAGGTGATGGCTCTGTTGCATTGGCATTAAAGCACAATTCACTTTTTGGTTTTTTAAAAGATTTATTTTATTTTTATTGGAAAGGTAGATGTACAGATAGGATGAGAGACAAAGAGGAAGATCTTCCGTCTGATGATTCACTCCTCAAGCAGCTGCAATGGCCGAAGCTGAGCCAATCCAAAGTCAGGAATCAGGAACTCCTTCCAGGTCTCCCACGCAGGTGCAGGGTCCCAAGGCTTTGGGCCTTACTCCACTGCTTTCCCAGACCTTAAAGCAGGGAGTTGGATGGGAAGTGGGGCTGCCAGGGTTAGAACTGGTGCCCATATAGGATCCTGGCACTTTCAAGGTGCTGAGCCTGTTTTGTTTTGTTTCATTTTGTTTCTGAGTGCTTTTAGCCTGGCCTAGTGAAAGAGGTAACAAGCCGAAGCCCTCTTTCACGTGGCCAGAACTCTCTTGGTACCTGATTTCAAGTAACCAGGCAAATCAGGAGCTGGAATTCTGCTCCCCAGGGCCTCCCAGTGCTTTCCTTGTTTTTATCCTTCCCTTCTCCCACCACCTCCCTATTATTGGAAAGGCAGATTTACAAAGATCTTGCATCCACTGGTTGGTTCACTCCCCCAAATGACCACAGTGGCCACAGCTGAACAGATCCTAAGTCAGGAGCCAGGAGCCTCTTCCAGGTCTTGCATGTGGGTGCAGGGTCTGAAGGCTTTGGGCCATCTCTACTGCTTTTCCAGGCCATAAGCAGGGAGCTGGATCTGCAGTGGAGCAGCTGGGACATGTGCTAGTCCCACCTTGTCTGTCTGTTGTTTGTTTGTTTTAAAATGTATCCTTTCTTATTGGAAAGGCAGATCAGATTTACAGAGAGAAGGAGAACCAGATTGAAAGATCTTCCATCTGCTAATCCACTCCCCAAGTGACTCCGCAATGGCCAGAGCTGAGCTGATGATCCAAAGTCAGGAGCCTCTTCCAGGTCTCCCACATGGGTGCAGGGTCTAAACTCTTTGGGTCATCCTCTACTGCTTTCCTAGGCCATAAGCAGGGATGGATGGGAAGCGGAGCATCCGGGACACCAACCAGTGCCCATATGCAATCCTGGAGCTTGCAAAGTAGGGATTTAGCCACTGAGGCATCAAGCCGCTGCCGCACCCCTCCCTCTCCTCTCTGCTCCAACCTTGTCTTTGATGGCCAAGGAGCTTTTCTCTCTCTTTTAAACTAATTTGAGAGGCAGAGAGAGTTGTAGCCACTAGTTCACTACCCACAGCTGGGGACCAAAGTGAGGAGGTAGATGCCCCATCCGGGTCTCCCTCGTGGCTTGCAGGAACCCAGTGATTTGAGCCATCAGCTGCTGCCTCTGAGGTCCACAGAAGCAGCAGGCAGTGCCCAAGTCGGGCCCAGGAAGCACAAGCACTGTGGCTCTCCCGGGAGGGGGGGGGGCCACATCCCCGCTTCCCGAGTGGAGAGTCTGACTCACCCCCAACGTCGTCTGCTCACCGTCCAAAAGCCACTCCGACCTTGGAGTGCTGGGCTCATTTTAGATTCCTCTCTGTTGGCTTTGGCCTGATGCTGAATTCTGTTCAAGACCTTTGGAGTTAATGTCTGTGCTTCTGACGTTGTTTGGGAAAACCGTAGCCGGCAGCGCTGCTCTCAGACTTCTGGCTGATTCTCGGGAGAGATGAGACAGGGACACTCTGACACATCATACCCCCAGGTGGTTGCCAATGAATGGCCAGCATGGGGCAAATATTCCTATGGTGGAATATTGTGAGGCTGTTTAGAGGAACAAAGTGCTGAGATGGAAGAACCCTGAACACACCAGGCTGGGAGAGAGACCCTCGTGACCTGGAAATGAGGGGATGGAGAGTGACTGTTGTAGGACTGCAAAAGGTCCAGGGTTTCTTTTTTGGGGTACTAGAGCTAGATGGTGGTGATGGCCACGTGTCTCTGATCTTCTAGGAAGGGGCCAGTACTCAACATGCCGCTAGCACTGGGCACCAACCAGCTTGTATCCCAGCTGTTCCAGGCCAACCCAGCTCCCTGCAGTTGAGGATGGCCCAAAACCTTGGGACCCTGCACCTGCGTGGGAGACCTGGAAGAAGTTCCTGGCCTCAGATCAGTTTAACTCCAGCCATTGCGGCCATTTGGGGAATAAACCAATGGATGGAAAATCTCTCCTCTCTGTAAATCTGCCTCTCCAAGAAAAATAAATCTTTTTAAAATAAATCTAGGAAGAAAAAAATCTCATCTGTACTGAACAGACATGATTTATTGTCTATGTACGTATGTGTATATGTATATTATCCTCTGAATGGTGCTGTATCCCAGCTCTTTCCAAAGGACCTACACTGGAGATAATTTGGTGTATGGGAGCATGTGTATAAGCTATCTGTAGCTGTACCTGCTGTTTATGTATGAGACTAGAGCCTCTGTGAATTTCATTATCTCAGATCTGGAAACCCGTCCCCTTTGGCTACCCAGGGATGACTTAATAAAAAGGTTGAGTTCTGTTCTTGAGACAGGTGGATTTTGCAGTGACTTACTGCTCTGATGTTAAGAGGCAGTATGAGTGTAAATGTATAGTGCAGACAATAAACGTTCAGAGAATTAGGGAGAGTGCCAGCATCAACAGAAGGTTCCTGGATTTTTTTTTTTTTTAAACATTTTAGTGACTTGAGAACCAGAAACAAACAGAGAGTTTTCATCTACTGGTTCATTCCCCAGATGGCTGCTTGGGACCAGGGTAAACGCAACAGCTTCATCTGGGTCTCCCACCACGTACCTGGGTGGCTTTTACTGCTTTTATTCCAGACCATCAGCAGGGAGCTGGATAGGAAGTAGAGGCAGCCAGGACTCAAACTGGCACCCATATGGGAAGCTGGCATGGCAGGCAGCAGCTTTACCCTCTCCGTCACAGTGCCAGCTTCCAATGTAGGACCTTGATTGGGAGAATAAAGCACATCCAGGCTTGCTTGAGAGCAAGGGTTGGGCGGTGAACGCGGGTCTCTTGAGGTGGTACCTGGTTGGTGAGAGGATGGAGCAGGCCAAGACACGGTAGATCCGCCGCTCCTTACAGCTGGCTCTGGAGGCTTTGTATTGGCTCCCGGGTAAGAGTTCGGTTTGCTCATCTGATTGCAATGACGCCAGCAGGGCCAGGTCCCTCTGCCTGCTCTTGGGGAGGAAAACAGTGGCCAGTGGCCAGGACAAGTCCCGCACTGCAAAAATATTTCATCCGTGAGGTCATTTGAGGGGCGGGTGAGGTTTGATCAGTAGGAGTGGCCTGCTGTCTTCCTTGAGGATCAGGTCCAAACTGATTTCCTAATGCTACATCACTGGGCAAAAACCACAGACCATTTCAAATGGGAGGATTCAGTTTTTCCAACACCCGCAAAGGCTTATTTTTAACCCTGTGGTGTGGTCTGCTCACCTCTGTGGTGTCCCCTTGACCGAGTCACAGAAATAAATCATAGGTCAGTTGCTCTGGTTCCTGAACTCTTGGCTACCCTCGCACACCCCATTTTCAATGACCCAACATAGGGTTGACACAAGCCAGGAAATGTGTCCTGGGCCGCCCAGCCTCATCATGGTCCCAAGGCTCCATCAGGACAAACCCCATGGGTCACTGGTGCCTTCTGTCGCATAGGGCACTCTTACTTTTCCATGTGCTAGATGTCTGGCAGAAAAATGAGGAACACTCCTCAAAGGTGAGGTGAGGGAAGGATCCAGAAGCCAGGACGTGGGGGTGGGGAGGCAATAGGACGGGCCCGCTCTGCAGCGGCCCCATGGGAGTGGCAGCAGAGGCCACCAAGAAAACACCTTAGCACATCCCAACCCAGAAGCAGGAGACTCGCCCCCCACCCCTCTCATAACGCAGGGATGGAGGACTTGTCGTGGGTGTGTGGTGGACACTCCGGGCAGGATAGGATCTTGTTGAGCTCTACACAACCTGGACAGGGTCCAGCCCCCTGTGCTGGATGAAGGGCAGGTGGCTGTGACAATGCTGGGGCAGAGGCCGGTGTGGGGACTTGGAGGGCGAGTTGGGCGCTGGAGGCGGGCAGTGAGGAGAAAGGAGCTTTGTGTGCGGCAGCGTCTGCTGCCAGAGCAAGTGTGGGTTTGAGGCAGCTGTGGGTCTCCCTTCCTAATATAGGCAAAGGCTCCGAATTCTACAGCCCAACACCTGTCAGAGTGGCTCCCTTGGGCCGACCTCTCTGCAGCCGGGTCTCTCCCACGGAGACCTGCCCCCACCCAGGCACACCCACCGAATCACTCAAGAGCTTGTGGACAGCCTGTGCTGTGATTGGGGGTCCAAGCACACTGACTCATGGGAAGGCCATGTGGACAGATACGGGTGGGGTGGGGATGGCTGGGTTTCCAAACGGTGAGACTGGCCTGGCCCAAAGGAATGGGTTGTTCCCCTCTGGGCAGCGGCCACTCTTGGCGAAGGAGTAGGCAGCATCTGGAAGCGAAGGAGGCCTGGGCAGAGTGAGCCGCTTAATGCTGCTGCAGCTGCTTCCTAACTTTTGCCTCTTTCTTTCCTTTTTGACTTTCGGAGGAGCAGGGTGGGGCGGGCGTTGGGGGTGGGGGCATCCCAGCAGCCAGCTGTTTCCAGTGTGGCCAGTGTAACTCCCTTTGTCTCTCCCTCCTCCCTTGCCCGCCACTCCCTCCTCTGCCCTCCCCTCCTCACCCCTCTGCCACCCGCCTACCTGCCCGCCCTGGGGTGGCTGCAGCCCAGTCCTGGGGAGCCCCTGTGGAAGTGGAGTCCTTCCTGGTCCACCCGGGTGACCTGCTGCAGCTTCGCTGTCGCCTGCGGGACGATGTGCAGAGCATCAACTGGCTTCGGGACGGGGTGCAGCTAGCGGAAGGCAACCGCACACGCATCACAGGCGAGGAGGTGGAGGTGCGGGACTCCGTGCCCGGCGACTCTGGCCTCTACGCTTGCGTGACCAGCAGCCCCTCCGGCAGTGACGTCACCTACTTCTCCGTCAACGTCTCAGGTTGGTAGCCAAGCCCCACCCTCATGCCTTCCCTGGACCCACACCTTCCCTGCCCTCCCTGCTTCCCAAAGTGCTGCCCACTAACGTTGCTCCTGCTGGCCGCGTGGCTTTAGCTTTCAAGGGGATGCTTAGATGGGACAGGCCAGAGCTCCGGAGGGGGCTGCTGATACCCTGGAGTGTGACCACCACGACCACAGCTTGCCCAGAGCTCCAGAAGGCTAAAGGAGCCAGACAGCTGCATCCTGCCCAAGCCCTTGCCAATTGGGCGTGGTATTCCAGGTGGAATTGGAGCCCCATGTCCCCACTGGGATGATGGAGAGAACCGGGTGGACCACCACACTCACAGGCACTCTGTGACTTGAGAACCTGGTTTTAAAAGTGATTTTGACTCTTGGAAAAAGACCTGCTTTGGGCACTTAATGGGTGGCCACACGTGCGTCGAGTCAGTTCTGAAAGGGTGGTTGCCTGACGGACAGAGATGCCAGCATGGTAGGTGGTAGGGGTGGTGTCCCAAGTCTTAACAGAAATTCTGATGTCAGGTGCCGGGCCCTGACTTTGGAACTAGCTGCTAATTTTTCAAAAGTTGTTTTAAATACTTATTTAGCTGAAAGACAGAGTTACAGAGAAAGAGACACAGAGATAAATTTTCCACCCAACGGTCGCAGTAGACCAAGCCAAAGCCGGGAGCCAGGAACTCCATCCGGGGCCTCCTATGTGGGTGGCAGCAGCGGCCAAAGTATTTGATCCATCTTCTGCTGCTTTCCTAAGCCCACCAGCAGGGAGCTGGCTTGGAAGTAGAGTGGCCAGGTCTTGAACCTGCACCTGCATCGGAGGCAGTGGCTCAACCTGCTGTGCCATACCAGCCCCTGAAACTAGCTTCTGATTCCATTATGCCTCAATCTGCCTCGGTGGACCGATGATTGGCAGTGCTAAGGAAGCCGTGAGCCACTGCCCTCCTCTGCCACCCCGGGGAGGGTGGAGTACAATGGAGGAGGAGAAGGGTGGCCCCACCGGCCCCACCCAGTGCAGGGCATGCACTGCCTTGGGCACTTGGGGACAGGGAGGGACAGGCAGTTGACTGGAAGCAGAGTTGGTATGGGGCTGGCTATCAGCGTTGATCTGTGCCAGTCTCCATGGGGTGGCCGTTGACATGAGTGGAAACCCGGAGCTGTCTCGGGGGGCGCCTCAACCCGCTGCCACTTCTCCCCGCAGATGCGCTGCCCTCCTCGGAGGACGATGACGACGATGATGACTCCTCTTCGGAGGAGAAAGAGACAGATAACACCAAACCAAACCGTATGCGTGAGACACTGTTTCCTATCTTTTGGGCCTGGGAGTTGTGTTTGGAGAGGGAAAGGAGGGGCTTGGAGGGCGCTGGTGCCCGACTTTACCTCCCCTGAGCATCTGTTAGCAGTGGACGGTGGCACAGGTGGGTGGGAGGGGCAGCTCCCTGCTCGTGCCCCAGCGGCTTACTCTGCAGCCTGACCAGCCCCTTGTCTTCTGGGCTCTCCCTGGGCAGCCGTAGCTCCATACTGGACATCCCCCGAAAAGATGGAAAAGAAACTCCACGCGGTGCCAGCCGCCAAGACCGTCAAGTTCAAGTGCCCTTCCAGTGGGACGCCGAACCCCACACTACGCTGGCTAAAAAATGGCAAGGAGTTCAAACCTGACCACAGAATTGGAGGATATAAGGTTTGTGTGGGTGGTTATGGACACGACAGGGAGAGGAGGAGGGGTGGGAGAAGCGGAAGGGCTTCACTAAATGCCTCGAAGTGTTTTTAAAGAACACTTGCTAACTATAAAGTTAGCACTTTCTGAAAAATGTGGGAGACCAGGCTTTCCTGGCTTCAGCCAGGCTCTGTCCTGGCCACTGAGGCCGTTTGGAGAAGGAACCCACAAGTGGCAGACCTTTCTCTCTTCTTCATTCTGTGCCAGATATCTTTGCAGTGTTTTTCAGTGTGTGGTTTTTACAAGTTGATGTGATTGTGTGTAGCATTTCTTATCACTTATTACCCTAGTGACATGAGTCTTGTTGTATTTTATTTTAACCAAATCTAGATGATGTTTTTTCATGGCCATATAATGCAGTCTGTTATTAAAATATATATATATATATATATTATGTATATATATATATATATCACCATAATTTAAAGAACTGTTTAGTGCTGTTGGACTTTTTTTTTTTTTTTTTTTTTTTGCTGTGACAAACAGTATCAGAGCTGATGTCTTTGTCAGCTGTTTTAAAAGTGCCTCTTTAGGAAAGTGCTGGAAATGACATCACTTAGAAGGTACAAGCATTGTTCAAACCCCAATGCCTATTTTTTTATTTCAAGATTTATTTTTATTTGAAAGGTAGATTTTTACAAAAAGGAGAGACCCCAAGATCTTCTGTCCACCGGTTCACTCCCCAAGTGGCTGCTGCTTCCAACGGGGCTGTGCCAGTCTGGAGCCAGGAGCTTCTCCCAGGTCTCCCATATGGGTGCAGGTGCACAACTTGAACCATCTTGCACTGCTTTTCCAGATGGCTGTGGCTCCACTGGATTGGCAGTGGAGCTTGTGGATGGAATACTACTATTGCAGGCAGCAGCTTAACTCACTATGCCACAATTCTAGCTCCCTCCAATTACTGGGTAGCGTACTAAGCCAGCACCTCCCACACCGGCGTCTCGTGTGGGTGCTGGTTCATTGCCAGGCTGCTTCACTTCTGATCCAGCTCCTTGCTGACATACCAGGGGAAACAGCAGAAGCTGGCCCCAGTGCTTAGGCCCCTGCACCCACGCTGAGAGATCTGGAGAAAGTTTCTGGGTCCTGCCATCAATCTGCCTGAACCCCAGCTATTATAGCCATTTAGGGAGTGAACCACTGGATGGAAGGTGTGTGTGTGTGTGTGTGTGTGTGTGTGTGTGTGTGTGTGTGTGAGAGAGAGAGAGAGAGACAGAATCAGAAAGAATAGAGGGAAATTCTAAATTCGTTGTCTAAGCAGATCTTGTGTGCAAAGCACCATGTTTGTGCTGATGCAAGTCTGTAAGAGCCTCCCAGGCCAGCTGGAGGGCTGTGTTGGTGGGCAGCTGTTGTCGGAAACAGACGATGTGGTCAGTGGTTGCAGGACAGGTCCTGACTGCGAGGATGAGAACAGTTTTGAGCGGTCAGAGCTTGAGTAGAGAAGGTGGGTTTTGAGACAAGATAGATGCCAAAGGCAGCCAGACCCTTAGTAGGAGCCATGGTCAGAAGTACAGGGTGGAGGAAAGTCTTGATGCATTTGGGAGAGTTTGCGAAAGAACCTTGGCCTTGAAGGCCACGGGGCGGGCAGGCTTCTGAGGCTGTCAGCCATCACCAGGCTGAGCATCATGCGTCTCTTCCTTCATCCCTGCCGCACAGCAGCTCTGATCCGGGGCCCTGTGGCCCCTGCCTAGTGGAGTCCCTTGGTCTGTTTTCCTGTAGGTTCGGTACGCCACCTGGAGCATCATCATGGACTCTGTGGTGCCCTCCGATAAGGGCAACTACACCTGCATCGTGGAGAACGAGTATGGCAGCATCAACCACACCTACCAGCTGGATGTCGTGGGTAAGAGGGCGTGGGGTGCGTGGGGACGGCATCAGGAGAGCATTTGCAACTAGGTCACCTCGAGCAGGGCAGCTGTTCCTTTCACACCTCTGTGTAAATGAGAATTAAGAGGGTCAGGCAGGAATGTGTCACCGGGAAGTACAAGGTGCCTGCATGCCAGCAATGCCTGTACACGTATTATAACGCCCCTTGCCAGTCGGATGGCACTTCTGCAGGGCACGCGTGGGCCGAAGCTCAGAGGTCAAGTGCCGACTCTGGGGTGAGCACTGAGGCTCAGGGGAGCTGCTCCTCGGCAGCCAGAACTGGAGACCGTCTCAGCCCGTGTCCCCTCTAAGTGCTGGGTCTGGCTCTGCCAATGCAACCACAACGGGGCTCCAAAATCGAATATATCCACAGTAACTCGTTGTTTTTTTAAGTTGGGCCTTTTCAATGGCCTGCCAGTGATGTTAGAAATAGCCTAATGGCCCTTGGCAGAAAAAAAAGCTTGTTTCTGAAGGGACCACGTCCTGTACCCGTGAGATGGGTGAGGCCTAAAAACTCACCAGCCTCTCATCTTGGTTTTGACACCAGCGAATCAGAAGCCAGGATATGAGATCCTGTCTGTGACACCTGCCCGTCAACAGTGGTGCCGCTGTTTCTTGCACCTTGCTCGGAGCACCTCTGGGTGCTGGGTTCCAAGGGTGCAAGTTAGAGTGTTGTCTATGAAGGTATAGGACACTGTGTGTAAAGATGGATGCACGGCCTTGAGGTGGGCATCCTGTGAGGCCTGAGGGAAACCGGTGAGGGCAGGGCATCCCGGCCAGGACCACACCACTCCCTTTGCCCGCAGAGCGCTCCCCTCACCGGCCCATCCTGCAGGCGGGACTGCCTGCCAACAAGACGGTGGCCCTGGGCAGCAATGTGGAGTTCATGTGTAAGGTGTACAGTGACCCTCAGCCCCACATCCAGTGGCTGAAGCACATCGAGGTCAACGGCAGTAAGATTGGTCCAGACAACCTGCCCTACGTCCAGATCTTGAAGGTAATCACCCCGGACTGCTGGGCCAGGGTGCTGGGATGGAGACCATGTCTCTCCTGGGGCTCCAGTTCTGCAGTCAGGCTTGTCTGGGGCCCCAGGGGTGGGCCCCAGCCCCTGCCTCCAGGACCAGCAGGAGATCAGAGTGGAGCTGGGCTGGGAGCAGAGGTGGAGGTGCCGTGGAGGTGCCGGGGGCTTGGGAAGGGCAAGCCCACTGCCTTGCTTGCTCACTGCCCGAGACCGCAGCCTTTGCAGCCAGCCTCCCACAAGTGTCCAAGTTCTGCTCTTGTTAGAGTAGATGGGGTGAAGGACAAGGGCACGCAGCTCAAACAGAGCTGGGACATCAAATGCCACCTGTAAATTCTGTGCCACCGGAGGAGTAATGGCATTTTCTTCCTTCTTCCTTTCACTCCCAGACTTGAGTTGTCTCTGAATGCTCCATTAATCCAGGGAAGGTAATTGCAACAGGAAGTAGCCCGAAGCTGGGAAAGCCGTTCACCTCACCATCCCACAGTTAGCGCTCATCCTCCCCGGAGGCTGGCCGTCCCAAAGACTTACCGGCTGTCGCTTCCCATGGCTGCTGGTGCAGAAAGTGTGCCCTGGGAAATGGGGCTGTGGCGCTGGGCTCTGCCCATGTCTGTGTACAGCCCATGCCGTGCTCCTGCAGGGTGTAGGTGTCACACACTCGGAGGCCACAGCATTTGCAACAGTGCTTTTCTTTTTATTAAATGCTTGGGACTTTGATATCTGCTTATCGTGTCCCCATCCCCACCCCGACTAAAAAGGAGCGAGCAACCTCCTGGACCGTCTTCCCCACTTCACCTTAGCTCCTTGGGCCTGCTCGGAAAGCCGCCGGGAAGCAGAGGACGGGCCCCGTGGTGTCCACACTTGCCCGACTGACTGCTGTGTCGTTGGTCTGTTCCAGCATTCGGGGATTAATAGCTCGGATTCAGATGTGCTGACCCTGTTCAATGTGACAGAGGCCCAGAGCGGGGAGTATGTGTGTAAGGTTTCCAATTATATTGGTGAAGCTAACCAGTCTGCGTGGCTCACTGTCACCAGACCTGAGGCGAAAGGTAATGGAAGCCGGACGGGGACCCTGTGCTGGGAAGGGTCATGTCAGCCCCATGCGCGACCGCCAGGGCCGTGGGAAGTCAGCGCCGGCCCCTCTCCACCTCCTTCTTCTCTTCCTGTGTCCTCGTGCCCAGAGCCATGGAAAAATACCCGGCCCGGGAGGCTGGTTTGGTTTGATTCTGTGTTGGTGTCCGTTGGCTCCCAGTGTGCTTTGCGTGGTGTTCCCTGGCTGGCTGTGCACCTGTGCGTGGATTTGTGGGGATGCAGTCATACCGGGGCGGCGAATGAGACTTGAGCGACAGATCAGGGGGAAAGGGACTAGCCATTCCCTTGCAGGCCTGTATCTGCAGGGTGTGTGTGTGAGTGTGTGTGTGTGTGTGTGTGTGTGTGTGTGTGTGTGTGTGTGTGTGTGTACCCCTGCCTCCCTCTTGTGTGCTCCCTCTCTACTTCTCTTGACCTGAAACCAAACAGCCCCTTGGCCACCGGGCTCCATTTCTCCATGCCGCCCACCGCCCGCATGCTGGGATGGGCCAGTGGCTGCCAGCGCCTGGTGAAGGGTCGTAACCAGCAGTGGTCTGCCGGCCTGCCCCCCCTCAGGGCCGCGCGCTCTCTCTCCCTCTAACAGGTCCTGCTGCTGGTGGTGTGTGTGTTCCTAGCTGCCGAGGAGACGCTGGGGAGCCTCTGTCGCTCTGGTTTCTTCCCCTCCTGTCTGTTATCCCCTCAAGGTCTCACGCCCCAACCTCTCTCGCTTGTCCACTTCCGCTCTCCTTATCTCTTCCTAGACGGCCGGCGTTAACACCACCGACAAAGAGATGGAGGTGCTTCACTTGCGCAACGTCTCCTTCGAGGACGCGGGCGAGTATACGTGCTTGGCGGGTAACTCTATCGGACTCTCCCATCACTCTGCATGGCTGACCGTTCTGGAAGGTATACACTGCACTGCGGTGTCCTGCCCTCGCCACGGCCTTCGGGGGGGAGCATGCATTGCAGGGCCGCCGGCGGGGAGACACAGGGCAGGGAGAGGGAGAGGAGCTCTGGCCTTGAAGGCTCTCCTCTGGCTCTGGGGCTTTCCTAGTCCCACAGGAACATGAGGTGGCTTCCCACCTGCTCACCTGCATCCGACTCTCCCCGCCGCCGTGGTCCACGCAATGCATGCCTGGGCTCTGGATTCCCTCCCGGCTGGGCTCTCCTGAAAGGCAGACTCCTTCCCTCCTGGGCTCCTTTGGTCCCTGAATGTCCGACAGACCCGATCCTCCTTCACCCATATGGGAAATCTGAGAAGGATCCCTGCTCCTGCTCGCAGAGGGCAGGGTAGCACCTGCCCGCCCTGTCTGCTGTACCTAGATAAGAGAACTTGACACCATGAGTCAGGCTGGCCTCAGGGCACTTGGTCATTCCCTCTAGCCTCTCTGGCGACTGTCCAGGAGGGAGGGCTGTGTTGAACTTGACCCCCAAATAGGTCAGGCCAGTTTTAAAGGCCTTGACCATTCCCTCCATCCTCCCTGGTGACCCTCCTGGGAGGGAAGCTGTGTTGGCCCAGGAGGGAAGGAGCCTGTATCTGAGCCAGGATGATGGTGGCCTTGGGGGCTGGAGCTTGGTGTGCTGTACGTGGGCCTGGACCTTGGCCACTCTCCTGGCTGTTTGCACCCTCCGTCCTGTCCTCGCTGCCTCGGCTAGCGGTCCACATGTGTTCTATGTTCTTCATCATCCCATCTGTGCCCCCTGTGCAACCCCTCATTGGTCCTGTCTTCTGCTCTGTCCGTGTCCTGGTAGGGCCTGGGAGATCTCTGTGCCACGCCAGCCTGGGCCATACCCCGTGCCTTGCCCTGGGAGGGCTGTCCCCTCTGGGGCTGGCTGCTGAGTTCCAGATGGGAGAGAGTGGTGGCCCTCTTGTGTGGGTGGGGCAGGGAGTGCTCTGTGCGGCTGGGCTGGCTTAGCTTCTAGCGGAGTAGCAGGGAGTCCCAAATGGATGAAGAGGTAGAGACTAAAGCCACACACCCACCACCCCTTTTGCCCCCCAAGTTTTAGGATGTAGCACCTGCAGGTAGAACTCTTCTCCCCACCCCCAAGATTGAAAGGCAGAATTTGCAGAGACAAAGATCTGCCATCCCTTCATTGACTTCGCAGATGGCCACAGTGGCCAGGGCTGGACCTGTGCAAAGCCAGGAGCCAGGCTGTGAGGTGCAGGGGTCCCAAGATTTGAGCTGTCTTCCACTGCTTTCCCAGGTGCACTAGCGCGGAGCTGCATTGGAAGTGGAACAGCAGGGACTTGAACCAGTGCCCATACGGGACCCGCTGTGTGGGTGGCAACTCTACAAGAACTACACAGAAAAAAGTTTATTTTTATTATTATTTTTTTAACCTAGAGCAGTTCAGACATGTTTGAAAGCAAAATTCGACATGAGTAGCTTGGCTGGTGTAAATATTGATATGTCTGGCCGGATGGAGGTAAAGCAGGTGCAGGGCAGGTCCCAAGCCAGGGCTTCACTGTTTGAGTGGCACCTCCTCAGAAACAGGCAATCTGCCCATGCTGGAAGAGTGTCCCCTCTTTGAAAGGAGGAACAATGTGTAGAATGAGTGAGAACAGGACTGGGTAGCAAGGCTGTCCTAGTCCTTCCCGCTTAGGGGCCTCCCATCTGGTTAAGGACACCCCAGAAGTCCCAGGATGCCTGATCCTGTGAGTGCCACAACCCCCAACCTAGCTAGCAGCTTGGCTCGCCACTCTGAGCATCGCCAGGACAGAGAAGATGGGTGTTGTTTTTTTTGTACTGGAGCGAGGACAGGGTGGCAGGAGGCAGGCCTTGTGGTCCGGGGCCACCAGCACCTACTGACGCCCTGTTTGCATCAACTCAGCCCTGGAAGAGAGGCCGGCCGTGATGACGTCGCCCCTGTACCTGGAGATCATCATCTATTGCACAGGGGCCTTCCTCATCTCCTGCATGGTGGTCTCTGTCATCATCTACAAGATGAAGAGCGGCACCAAGAAGAGCGACTTCCACAGCCAGATGGCCGTGCACAAGCTGGCCAAGAGCATCCCCCTGCGCAGACAGGTAACAGAAAGTAGATGGGGGGTTCGCACGCTTTAAGGCTTGCTTCATTTGAAAGGCAGAGTTATTGAGGTGATCCGGGGAGCAGACAGAAGGAAATCTTTCATCCACTGGTTCACTCCCCCAAATGGTTGCCATGGCTGGGGCTAGTCTGGAGCCAGGAGCCTCTTCAGGGTCTCCCATGGAAGGAACAGGGACCCTAGCCCTTGCACCATCTTCCATGGCTTGCTCAGGCTCATTAGCAGGCAGCTGGATTGGAAGTGGAGCAGTCGGGACTCGAACCAGCACCCACGTGGAATGCCAGCATAGCACACGGTGGTTTTATGCACTATGCTGCAGCGTCAACTCCCTGCAGAGTTGCTTTCACCCTAGCCTGGCCCATAATAACTAACCTGTGCCCTCCGTGCCTCAACTGCATGTCCCCTGATCAGGCAGATGGGGAGTCCTGTGTGGTCCAAATATGTAGCTATGCGTCGGAGCCATCCCCAGGGCCAACTGGAGGGGTAGAGAAGAGGACCCAAGTCGGTCCCCAGGTGTGGGTGGGGTCACCCATGGCCCCCTGTGCTAGCTCTGGAACGTGCTTTGGCTGTAACCCAAGGCAGAATCTTCGCAAGGAATTGAGGCATGAATAGTTGATGCCGCAGTGATGCACTTTAAAAATGCCAAGCCGAGGGAGGCCTGTTTGGGCTGCTCCTTTCCCAGGCTGGTTGGTGTCAGAATGAGAACATGGGGCTCGTGGCCTCCTACGGTCACCCCCTACTGCTGTGCACTCTCCAGCACCCCGTCTCCTTGCTAGAAGGGTGACCCCACTCTTCCCTGTAGGTGTCGGCTGACTCCAGCGCATCCATGAACTCAGGGGTTCTTCTTGTGCGGCCTTCACGTCTCTCCTCCAGCGGGACCCCCATGCTGGCTGGGGTCTCTGAATATGAGCTTCCCGAAGACCCTCGCTGGGAGCTGCCCCGAGACAGGTGCGGACAGCCTCTTGTTCGTGTGGGTCAGGTGTGCTGGGATCTTGCGGTCCCCGAAGGTGTGTGATACACCTGCAGAGAGAATGCTGCCCACTTTGTGCCCTTTGGCTGAACTAAGGAGGAATAGACAAGAAGATCCTCTGTGTGTGTGTGAAATTAACCAGCCCTCACTTAATGCCAATGTTTGTCTCCCAAAAGACTGGTCTTAGGCAAACCCCTGGGCGAGGGCTGCTTTGGCCAAGTGGTGTTGGCAGAGGCCATCGGGCTGGACAAGGACAAACCCAACCGTGTGACCAAAGTGGCTGTAAAAATGTTGAAGTGTGAGTAATGTTCGGGTCTTTGCTGAGCAAACCGGAGGCAGCCATCAGCCAAACCAAACACCTGCCACCTCTCACGGCCTCTTTGAGCTTGCCCTGGAGCGGAAGGGGCACTCCGGGGTCACCGTGTCCTCCCTTTGTGGCTGTAGTTGGGGGTTGATTTCCGAGGCCTGTCGCTAGCTGAATCATCTTGCTCCACTCACTCCCATATAGTTGTAGCAGCGGCTCCCACAAAGAGGGAGGAGAAAATAAATTTTTTGGTGGGGGCAGTGGGGGTTGGGGAGGAAGTCCCCCTCGTCCACAAAAGGGGGCTCCCACGGGGACACCATCTCCTGGCTCCCTTGCCTTTTTCCTCTGATCCTGTGTTCTGGTTTTTGTATGCAAAGCGGATGCGACAGAGAAAGATCTCTCGGATCTGATCTCAGAAATGGAGATGATGAAGATGATCGGAAAGCACAAGAACATCATCAACCTGCTGGGGGCCTGCACGCAGGACGGTAGGAGACCGCGGGGAGAGCCGGGCAGGGCATGCGGGGTGTGTGGGGAGAGCGGGGCAGGGCAGGCGGGTGGGCTGGAGGCCTGGGGGCCTGCACGCAGGACGGTAGGAGACCGCGGGGAGAGCGGGGCAGGGCATGCGGGGTGTGTGGGGAGAGCGGGGCAGGGCAGGCGGGTGGGCTGGAGGCCTGGGGACCTGCACGCACGACTTTAGGCACAGACATGGGGCAGCCCTTGCTCTCCCTGCTGTATTTTGAGGGGTTCTGGGCTGCTGATGTCCGTGGATGTTCTTCCAGGGATATGGGCACTAGAGTCACATTGGCACAGGAACCGGTGAGCGACTGTGGTCTCAGTAAAGGCTCTCAGTGCCCACACCACCACCATCAGCCCAGCACTGTGCTGGGAAGGGGACCTTTCTTAAAAAAAAAATCTTTTGAGATTTATTTTACTTGAAAGGCTGTGAGCTCTACACAGAGGGATTTTCCATTCTCTCTCTGGTTCGCTCTCCAAATGGCTGCAACGGCCAGAGATGGACCAGGGTCACTGTACAGAACCTGGAATTCCATCTAGGTCTCCCAGCTGGATGCAGGAACCCAGGCACTTGGGCCACCCTCTGCTGCTTTCCCAGGTGCAGTAGCAGGAAGCCAAACTGGAAATGCAGCTGCTGGGACTTAAACTTGACATTCTTGGGGGATGTTGTTGTTGCAGGTGCTCGTTTAGCCCACTGTGCCTCCACAGCAGCCCCAGGAGGTCTCTTCCCCCCCACCTCCGACACCCCCTCCATCCCCGGACTTTTTAGATAGTAGAATGGCTTTGCCTGCTTCCCCCATAAAGGAAGCTTAGGCATGGTGTTGGGGGGAGGATTCCGCCCTGCCTGGATGATAGTTCCTCCCTGTGCTCCAGGTCCCTTGTACGTCATTGTGGAGTACGCCTCCAAGGGCAACCTGCGGGAGTACCTGCAGGCACGGCGGCCCCCCGGGCTGGAGTACTGTTACAACCCCAGCCACAACCCCGAAGAGCAGCTCTCCTCCAAGGACCTGGTGTCCTGTGCCTACCAAGTGGCCCGAGGCATGGAGTACCTCGCTTCCAAGAAGGTGAGAACGCAGAGCACACCCCAGAGTGAGATCCTGGTGTCCCCGCTCCCCCAGCATCCTTTTTGGAAGAACCGGGGCAAGCGGGTTCTTGTCTGCACCTCTCTACCCCTTTCTGCATCGCTTCGGGCAGCAGCTGTACAATCTTATCCGTCTCCTCCAACACCAACCGAGGATCCTGCTGGGGCGGCAGGAGAGAGGACAGTGGGACGGCCAGCAACGCCCAAGTGTAGGCAGTAAGCACCCATGCAGATGGGTGTGAAGGGGCAGCCTCGGCTGCAGGGCCAGAAGCTGAGAGGGGAGCCCAGGAAAGCATGGGGCAGAGTGATGGACAAGCCTAGTGGATGCTCTCATGGAAGGGACAGAAGGTCCGGAGGGGGCAGGGAAGACCAAGGCTTCCCTGCTGGCTGCAGAATGAGAGTGACTCTGGGGACAGGGGTACAAGGTGGTGAGCGCTCCTTACCTGCCGTTGGGCCTGGGCTCTCTGCAGTGCATCCACCGAGACCTGGCCGCCAGGAACGTCCTGGTGACCGAGGACAATGTGATGAAGATTGCCGACTTCGGCCTGGCACGGGACATCCACCACATTGACTACTACAAAAAGACCACCAACGTGAGTGCCCGTGATGCTCCTCCCGCTTGGCTTTCTTAGCCTGGCACTGGGCTGCTTTGGCCAGGGAACTGGGGGTAGATGTGCCCACACCTGTCCCCTGTGTGAGGTGCTGCCCTGTCCTGAGCCACCCCCAACTCTCTCCCGTGCTGCCCTCAGGGCCGGTTGCCTGTGAAATGGATGGCACCTGAGGCATTGTTTGATCGGATCTACACCCACCAGAGTGACGTGTGAGTGATGCGGGGCCCTTGGGGCTGATGTTCTCCCCAAGCCGGAATTCCTGTCCCGTGGGGGTCCCCCTCGGAACAGCCTGAGGTGCCCCCAGGTGCAGCGGCAGTGTGTTCACCGGCAGGTGGTCTTTTGGGGTGCTCCTGTGGGAAATCTTCACTCTGGGCGGCTCCCCGTACCCCGGCGTGCCTGTGGAGGAGCTTTTCAAGCTGCTGAAGGAGGGTCACCGTATGGACAAGCCCAGCAACTGCACCAATGAGCTGTAAGCCCCACCCAGAGCTGGGCACGTGGGGTGGGGCAAGAGGTTCCAGGGGGGCACCCCTGGGCGGGGCTGGGTTCCGCGCCTCCCCCTTCCTCCTGACCTCGCCCTCCGGCCACAGGTACATGATGATGCGGGACTGCTGGCATGCAGTGCCCTCTCAGAGGCCCACCTTCAAGCAGCTGGTGGAAGACCTGGACCGCATCGTGGCCTTGACCTCTAACCAGGTACAACTGCCCTTGGTCCTCCCGTGGAGGCCACAGTAGCAGCGTGAGAACCGGGTGCTGTGAATCGCAGCAGAGGGCGCCTATTTGCTCTGCTTTGTCTCCTGGCACAGGAATACCTGGACCTGTCCATGCCCCTGGACCAGTACTCGCCCAGCTTTCCCGACACCCGAAGCTCCACCTGTTCCTCGGGCGAGGATTCCGTCTTCTCGCACGAGCCGCTGCCAGAGGAGCCCTGTCTGCCACGGCGCCCGGCCCAGCTTGCCAACGGTGGCCTCAAACGACGCTGACTGCCACCAGACCCTCCCTGGTCCACGACCCCTGCTGGACTCACTGCCTTTCCTCACCGCCCCCCTTTATCCTGCGGGCGGGAGCCGGTTGCCCACTTGAGGCCTTCCTGCGTGGCTGCCTGGGCCCCACCAAGTGCCCCCTCTAACTCCTCCTCTTGCCCGGCTCTGGAGCGAGGCGCCAAGGGGCTTGCTTGCTGGTGGCAGCTCCGTTCCCTCCTGTGTAATGGACCAACAGCCCCTGCGGTGGGTGTGAGAGCAGAGCCTACCAAGGGGAGAGAGCTGGCGGGGTGGCGGGGGTGCTGCTCCTGGTGGCCAGGGGCTCAGCCCTGAGGGCTCCAGCTGCTCCAGAGTATGTGGTGGTGCCAGTGGCTTATTAATTCCAATACTAATGCTTTGCTGACCAAATAACTGGTACCGGAAGACCAGGAGGCAGCCAGGCCTGGAGTGGTGTTGTGGCCCGGGGGGCCCAGCCCTGAGAAACTGGGGGCTTTGTACATAGCTATGAAGAAGAAAAAAAAAAAAAACACAAAGTGTATAAATCTTGAGTTATATATTTACATGTCTTTTTTAAAAGGGTCGTGACCAGAGAGATCTACCCATCAGCTAAGTTGCTCCTGGCGGCCAGTTGCTATATATTAAAAACAAAAAAAAAGAAAAAGGAAAAAAAAAGGATTAAAAAAAAAGGAAAATGTTTTTAAAAAGGTCATATATTTTTTGCTACTTTTGCTGTTTTATTTTTTTAAATTATGTTCTAAACCTATTTTCAGTTTAGGTCCCTCAATAAAATTGCTGCTGCTTCATTTTTATACGGGCTGTGTGAAGGGGGTCAAAGAGGGTCCCCCGTTAGGCCCTGGTGCTGCATGTGCCCTGAAGCCCCTTCCTCCCCTTGAGACCTACACCTAGACCACCAGGGACAAACCTCCCACCTCTCCCCTGCTCCTGCAGGGGTAGGGAGGGCAGCCTTGGCAGAGCAGGAGGGCCATAGCAGCCTCTGACCACGGAGGAAACTGGGGGTGGCGGAGTGGAGCAGGGGTTGCAGGAGCAAGGGGGACCTTAACCATGGCCACGGGGAAGGCAAATCGGGGTGTGTCTACTCCCTCCACCTCTACCCTGCTATGCTAGCTCCTGGCTGGTTCGCCTCTTTCCTTACCTTCCCCCCAAACTATCCTTGGGCACCTCCAAAACTGCTCTGATTGGGGCCATTTCACCTTGACTCCCTGGATGGTCTCTGTCCCACCCCACCCCCCAGAAGAGGCTGGGGAGGAAGGTGAGGAGTTCCCTGCATGTTTTGTTTTTGGCTGCTTGGAAATTTACTTCTTCTGCCACCTGCTGGTTGTCCCTTGTCCAGCTGATGCTGGCTTCTGAGTTAGGGTTCTGGTTCAGCCCACGCAGCCTCTGTACTACAAATGAGATGAGCGCTCAACATGACAAGCCTCGTTGCTGTAGGGAAAATGAGGCCAAGTGCCTCAAGTTCCCTTTCTGCCTAGGAGTTCTGTTTGGTTTTGAAGAAGCTCCAGTGTTGCTCTTAGCCATTGTATAATTGTCTCGTGTACAGGTGCAATGGTGGATGTACTACAACTTGTGTCCGTGTTTAAAGGAAGCATACTTGGGCAAATGGAGCCCGGGAGGGGGGTCTTGCTTCCAGACCGTGCAGTGGGGTCTCTTCCTTTGACAAGTGGTGGTGATTTCCTGCCGTGGCCCTGCCCTGACACGGGATTGCGTGGGTACACGGAGGGCCTGCGGAGGACTTCACGTGCCTTGTCCCTCTTGCTACCCAAGTCCCTCACGAGTGTCCCCAGAGACGGAGCTGGCTGTCAAATAAAAGATAGTGAAATTGACCTGAGAGAAAATGAAATGGCCATTTGACTTAGACGACCAGCTTGGGTCCCCTGGGGAAAGGAATCCAGTCTGTAATGAAGATGTGAAACTGTCAAGGCACTGAATGTTTGGTTTCCTGAGGGTTAAAAGACCAGGGCCTGGAATCAGCCCGGCATTGATCAATACTGCCCTCCCATCTTTCCTAATTGCCAAAGATCGGGGACCATCAGTTCCCTTGGTGCCGCTAATGTAATATATTGATCTCAGGTAAGTAAGATTGAACATCTGATGAAGCCAGGGACTTTATCTTAATGAAGTCGCTGTGTTTATCAGCCACCACTGGGGGGAGCCAGCAAGTTAACCGTTTATCCTTCCATTCCTTCAGCGATGACCAAAGCCAGGAAGAGGGTGGTCGGCAAGAACGCAGGTGGGAAGGAAGCCAGGAAGAGGGTGGGTTCCCATGCTGGCAGGCCAATTCAGTGGGCTTAGTCGTTGCTGCGCACACTGGGGTAGGGGTGTGCTGGAGCTGACTGCCCTGAACCAAGCGAGTACATCTCAGAACTGCAGTGACGACGTGTTGGGAGAACTTGAACTCTGCCGTGCTGTAACTCAAAGCATTGCCCCCTTGCCGAGCTGGCTGCAGATGACAATAGACCACCACTAGCTAGGTTTCAGCTTTGGGCTGGGTCTAATAACGGTGGAACCCAAGTATTCACCCTCAATGATGAGAGAAAACATCCTTGACATCGTGCCCTATCGTCACATAAACGGGAAGGGGCATAGCAGGTGTCTGATGCATCTGGTGCCAAGATGCAACAAAAACAGGTGAGGATCAGCTGGGACCAAAAGCGACCCAAGTCCCTTGAAACAACAACCCAAAAAAATCTGTAGAACAGACCAAGAAGATGTGGAAACCGTCCAGTGGAAACAGCCAAGCACTTTTGGCTGTTTGTGTCTTTCCCACACTTAACAGGGGCGCAGCATTTTGAGAACGCCAAGATTGGGAAGTAGCTTTGACAAGAGCCAAGGGAACTCTTGGTGCAGTGGAGCCCAGTCCCCCTCAAGGAGGGCGAGGGGTGAAGTTGCAACTGGGGAAGAGAGTTTGGGGAACACATTTGTTCCCTGACATGCTGGGGACACGTCTCACTTAGGGGACCCCAAACCAGGCTGACTTGAGGCTTACTCGGTTTTAATGGAGTCCCAATTTCACAACAAGAGATCTTCAATTTCCCAACAAGAAATCTAATTTTATCAACCACAGGCCAAAATACTTTTTACCCTTCTCAGGGGAGGAAAGCTGTCGGTCAGCTGCGTCCGTGAGCATCCGGATGAAATGCTGGCTCCTGGGACGCACGGGGTTCGTCGTGGGCTTCTGCGGCCCCTGAGACTGACACACAGTCTTCTTGTGAAAGACAAACGGACCAGAAACAGACACGCTCGGCACAAACAAATGGTCAAGCCTTAAGCCCTTAATTATGTTTCCTACAAAATGGTGGCTTAATGAAAGCCACATGTGCTGGGCCAGTGGCCGCCTCCCAGATTTCCTGTAGCCGTCTGCAAACAGACCGGTCCAAGGGGACGAGGCCTGTCCAAACAGTGAAGCCGCAGCCAAGCCCGTTGTTGCCAATCTCTGTAACTCTTCCGTTTCTCCTTCTGTACGGTTAGACCTTCCTGGGCAGTTCATCTCTGCTGTTTCAGAAGGCACTGCGCCTTCTGGAACCCTGTTCTACCTGTGGGTCCTACTGCTACCGTTAGGGGTCTCTCACGTTCCTAGTGGAGGTGTCAGTGTACCAGGCTGACTCCATTCTGCAAGCCATCTCCCATCCCAGGGCATGAGGACAGCTTGTATGCTGCTCACACACTGCCCAGTGGGTACATGTTTGTGGAGGGAGGGAGGATGGGCACAGCCCAGTGGGTGCTTAATGGCACAGAGATGGACTCTGTAGGCCTATTCCTCTAAAGAGGCACTGAACTGGGTCTTGCTGCCAACATCATCTACGATGGTTCTTAAGGCCCCCGAGGACTCTATCTGCCATCACACACAGGATTGGCAGGTCGGTCGGAGCTGGGAGCCCCTCAATGGTCACCACCGTTGGCAGCCGGAAGCTGGAGAGAGTGAGCGCCCTCCTCCTTCTGGCGTCCTTAGGCTCCCTTTGAGTTAGCTTTGCTGTTCTGAGACTTCTGCCGGGATTCAGCTTGCAGTGTCTAGGGATAAAACATAAGGACTTTGCATTACCACCACCAAAATAATGACACACCACAGAGAAATCGGAATCGATCTGTTCCATTGGTAATAAAAATCAGCCGTGTAGAGCAGTCCCTTCCCTACCCCGGAGAGCCCCCGGTGCCAGTCTGGAGGCCGACCCCACGCATGTGCTCATGGTCACAGGCTGCAGGCAACACCCTGGGTCCTCAGGAGCCACCTAATGGGCCAGCCCACCAAACCCTCCCTATTGCCAGCTCATGTCCTGGTTTCTGCTCTCGCCTGAGGATCTTCACCCAAACGGCAAGAGTGGATATGTGGGTAATTTCTTACTTACACATTTCTCCTAAAGTTGGAGTTTTCTGCTAGTGTTTCCTGGATAAAAGTCCCGGCATATGGAAATGATTTCCATGTGGTACATAAGGAAATCAGCATCTGCCTATATTGTAATTAGCTTTTAGACTTAAAATGTTTAGGTCTTACTGCATTTGCTTGATAATTTTTCTCTCTCTTTTTTTTTTTTTTTTTTTTTTTTGCCCTAGGATAATTGAGGTTGTTTAAAAAACACAGTGGTTATGAGATGACTACAGTTCAGCCTCCAGCTTCCTGTTTGGACAACAGGGAAAAAAAACACGCTGAGTTTTGAAATAGAGTTCTGGATTCTTGCGAGCCTTAAAGTTAGGTGATAAGAAAAGGGCTTCTTCCTTTATACACTTACTGCTTCTTTGGAAGAAGTGATGGGTCCTTTGGGTAACGGGACAGATGCCGATGGTTTTAGGGGGGAGGGCGGTGCTGGTGGTGGCGCTTGTCTGAATTCTTCATCCTTAAACATCAGAAGGGAGTGGGTTACTGGGTTAAAGCAAAAACTGTGTGAGGGCTCCGTGACTACCTGGAAATGGTGACAACTACTTCGTATTTGGCGCAAAGGCAGGATCTAGAATCTGATCACCTCTAGGCAGATGTTGAATGTTCTCAGAAACAGTTCAAACAGCACCACAAATATTTCTTACAGAGGAATGCTCTCGTACAGAAATTCAGTTTAATTAAGGGCATTGAAAACAGAGGGAAGTGGTAGCCTAGTGGCTAAAGCCCTTGCCTTGCATGTGCCAGGATCCCATATGGGCATTGGTTTGTGTCCCAGCTGCTGCACTTCCCATCCAGCTCCCTGCTTGTGACCAAAGCCTTGGGACCCTGCACCCACAAGGGAGACCCAGAACAAGCTCCAAAGCTTCTGGCTTTGGATCAGCTCAGCTCCAGCCGTCGTGGCTACTTGGGGAGTGAACCCAACAGATGGGAGATCTTTCTGTAGATCTGACTTTCCAATAAAAATAAATCTTAAAAGAGAGAGAGAGAGAGAAACAAACACACTGCTGTGTCGTTTTCTGACTGAATCAAATGGGAGGTAGCTGGGCTGACCTTGGTCCCCTTCAGCTGAGGGGTGGAGTCCACCATGTGTTCTCTGGAGTCCGAGGAAGCAGGCAGGTCCATGTCTGTCTTGGGAGCCTTGGGAGAGAAGCACCTTATGCGTCATCATGCTGCTCTTCCTTAAACGCAGAAGCTCTTCTGGGCTAGGCAGCTTTCTACCAAGCCCCCTAACTTCCTGCTGGAGCTACCCCTTTTATAAGTAACAGATGAGATATGTCCCTAAAACAACAATTTAGCATTATTCCTCTTTCTGAGTTTTTGAGTACTCTCTATTCAAAGGTTATGGCCTAATTAGATTCCAGCATTTAAAATCCTCAGTCATTAATAAACCACTGACTATTAATCATGCTCCTGTTGTGTCTTGAAAAAAAGAAAAATAATAGTTGCCATTTGCCAATTAGTCATTGGTTTCCAATAATCTTTGCATCTATTATTTTAATATCTAGTAATAAATGTTACTTAACTGGCAAGGAGTTACTTATAAGAAGCTCTCAGCCCAGTATATCCAATTTGATGTCTAAATTCTTTACAGAGTCTGGAATGCTATCAGTACGCTGTTTGCATATTCCTGAACACAAGGGGCCTGTGGGGTCTGGATCCCACAGCCAAACACCAGAACTCGAATCCAGTCACGGCCCAGGGCTGCCCTAATGTCTTTGGAACACAGTTGTCTCCCAGGTCTCCCTAAAGCCCATCCAGGACAAAACTACTACCGGCTTTGCTCTCTGAGGACAGGAAGGAGGAAGCAAGACAGTCTGGCACTTGCCAAGGTGTCAACGGTGTAGCTAGGACTGAGCATGGGTGGCCCTCATTTCCAGGATCAATCTGCGGAACCCCACGGCAGCACCTTCTACAACGCTCTCTCCTTCCTCACGTCCCAGGCCTCCACCTTTTTCAAGTATTTATTTAAAAGGCAGGGTGGCAGAGGGATTCTTCCATTCCATTCACTGGTTCACTCCTGGCCACACAGGAACAACATTCGGGTTTCCTACACAGGAGGCAGGGAGCCAAGTGGCCGAGCCATCATGTGGTGCTTAGAGACACTTTCTGATGGGCCCACAGCAACATGCTCTAGGCACGGGGTCACTCTCAGGTGCTACAGTAAAATGCCAATAGCAAACAGTTGCTGGGTTCCAGACAAGAAATGATTGAGGAAATGAGTTGAAGGAAGACAGAAATTTTCAACTTCTGGTTTAATCATTCACTCCTTCAAAATAGTCAGTCTAGGGGCAGACTGGTAGAGGTGCCACATCTCATGTCTGAGTGCTCTGAGGTGCCACTCTGTTTCCTGCTAGTTCATAGCAGGTAAGAGCGTAAGTGCTCCGGTCCCTGGTGCCCAGCCAGGAGACACAGATTAATATCCCGGCTCCTAGCTTCAGCCCAGCTTAGCCCAGACTGCTTGTGGGCACTTGTGGAGCAAAGTCCTCGCCTTGAATGTGCCGGAATTCCATATGGACGCCAATTCTAATCCCGGCAGCTCCACTTCCCATCCAGCTCCCTGCTTGTGGCCTGGGAAAGCAGTGGAGGATGGCCCAAAGCCTTGGGACCCTGCATCCACGTGGGAAACCAAAAGAAGCTCCTGGCTGTGGGTCGGCTCAGCTCCAGCCATTGTGGCTGCTTGGGGAGTGAACCATCACACAGAAGATCGTCCTCTCTGTCTCTCCTCCTCCTCTCTGCATATCTGCTTTTCCAATAAAAATAAATTAATCTTTTTTAAAAAATAAGGTTCTTTTTTTTTTTTTTAAGAGTAAATTAAAAAGCATCTACTGTGGTTCCACAGGGAAAGGACAAATATGGAGAGGCCTAGTTAGGATGGAACTCCGGACTCACCTCCCCACTCTGCGGTATCTCAATTGGCTTCGGCTTCACATCAATCAGATAGAAGGTGCGTGACAGCAGCAAAAGAGAAGGAGGGACGTTCTCCTTCAGGTGGAGGTCCAGCCACTGGAGAAGGAGAAGTGACCACCAGATCTCAGAGCCACAGACGACCCACGGCCACAGACACAAGGATGCCCCTCGTTCCCAGCTTCTGCACCCCCCTGGAGCCTACCCCGGAACCTGAACGCTTAGTCGGTCACCCTCGGGTGGGGGAAGAGACTTCCACTGAACTTACAACCTAACTGCATCGCCACCACAACGAGTTCGCTTGGAAAACAGATCATGTGGGGCCCAGTATGGTAGCCTAGTGGCTAAAGTCTTTGTTCTGCACACGCCAGGATCCCGAATGAGCACTGGTTCATGTCCTGGCTGCTCCACTTCCCATCCAGCTCCCTGATTGTGGCTTGGGAAAGCAGTCGAGGATGGCCCAAAGCCTTGGGATCCTGCACCCACATGGGAGACCAAGAAGAAGCTCCCGGCCATTGTGGCCACTTGGGAAGTGGTCCAGCACACTGAAGATCTTTCTGTTTCTCCCTCTCTGTAAATCTGCCTTTCCAAGAAAAAGAAATAAATCTTTAAAAGAGAGAGAGAGAGATTCCAATGAGCAAGCCCACTCCTCAGGCTGGAGCACCTACATTTGACCTCCAGATCCTGGAGCCAGCTTCCTGCTCGGCAGGCCCTGGCAGGCAACGGTGATGACTCAAGTGACGAGTTCCCGCCACCCCATGTTCCCACAGACTGGGGATGAGGTCTCTGCTGCCAGCTTTGGTCTAGCCCAGCCCTGGCCACTGTGGGCATGTGCGGAGTGAAGAGGCAGATCGGGACACTGTCTTCTGTCCTTCCGGCCTCTGGGAAGGCAGAGGGCCCGTGCAGGCGGAAGGCCAGGTCAGAGCACCTGATCTCTGCTTTTGGCCTTGCCTATATGTGGCTGAAGTGTATATCAGGGGAGCAAACAGGAAGATAGAGGATTCTCTGTCACCAGAGCTAGTGCCCTATATTGGCTTTGGACAGCAAGTGGGACCCCAGCCCTGGGTAGGCCAGCAGCAGGGGTGCCGACAGAGTCACTCTTACAGCAGGTCCTTTCGGTACCTAGAAAAGGCAACTTTCAGAAATGCCGGAGGACTTGGTTCTCTTCCCTCGTGGGCCGTACCTCCTCCAATGATTTACTCAGTCACCATCCTAGGCACTTGATGAAGGGATTTTACAGATGGGCTCAGGGTTCCTAGACAGTTGAAGACAGCAAAATGATCGCGGTGGGCCTTTGTCACAAGGGACTTTTCAATCCGGAGCTCCAGGTCAGAAGGGGGAAATGGCATCACAGGCTCTGCAGATGAAGCAGGCCCAGAGGGAAGGCATGCAGGTGGCCCCAGGGAGCCGCCAGGAGCGAGGGTCTGGGAGACAGCGAGGAAACCAGGACCCGCCTGAGTTGGGAGGTGGGTCCTCCTCCACGGCCCTCGGGGAAGGGGCACAGCTCTGCGCTTCTGGCCCACACAACTGGCCACTGACAGATGCTCCCAGTGTTGCTACAACCCCCTGGGAGGGAGTGGTACCTTGCCCGGAGTAAAGGACAAATAGTCCCCCCTCCCCTTCCTCCGCGCCCCCGGGGTGCAGTGCGATGAGCCAGAGGAGGGAACCCGGTTCACCTGCAGGACAGAGGTGTCAAGGGGACACTCCCACTTGCCTCCGTGAGTTGCTGTCGCAGCTGCTCCTCCGTGAGGCCCAGCGATAACATCCCTCGGGCCCGGCAGGCGGCCTGTAGTTCAGACACACTCAGAGTCCTCAAGCCTTCTTTGGCAATTGCCTGCAACAAACACGGGAGCCACGCTGCATCTTCTTGTTCCAGCCTCACCTTATCTCGGCATGCCAGCAAATCCACAGAAACATGGAAACTGACTTCTGGATGCTCTGTCCGCTTCACTGGCAGGAACCAAACAAAACCCAAGGAAGGTGTGTGTCAGTGAGATGGGGGGTGGGGTCCTGCCAAGAGATATTAATAATAAGAGTTATTCACATAATTCCTCCCCAACACTCTGTCATCAAAGTCATTATTCCCCTCTTGATGAGTGTTTCGCCTGGCATGACATCTCTCACTCCTTCTCCCCTTTCATGGCAGCTCAATGCTTCTTTAGGAAAAAAAAAAAAAAACAACAACACAACTTTTCACTTGAAAAGCTTTCAATGGACCATTTGTCACCTGTCCCAGTGGGTTTCTTGCCACTCCTCCCTCCCCTCCTGCAGCGCCCCCCCCTTCCAGCTCCCCCAACTCCCCAGGAACGGCCCTAACCTCCTTGGCCCACAAATGGCTTTTAGCTCCTTGGCCCACAAAAACCCCTTCGATAAATAACGCAGTTTCTCCTTGGTGTGACCCCAAACTATGTCTCCTCTGGGGGCCAGCATTGTTTTATTCCCAAACGCTGAAAGCAATAACTGAGATATAAACAGGGGTGGGAGGCTGGGGAGGGCGGGGCGCTGCGATGGGATGGGGCTTCCAGCACTGGGGGAAACCGTCCCCCCCACCCCGCCCCACCCCGGCCCGCCCGTCCCCCCTCCTGGCCCAGGACCGAATGTCTTGCGAGCAGCTGATTCCGATTCAGCCAGCATTCTTTCCATTTTTAAAAGCAGCCTAATTAGTAGTTAGGGTCCAAATGGTGCCTTGCCTTTCTTCCCTAAGACGTCTGAGCTCTGCTTCTCCTCCTCCTTACCAGGCCCACTCACTCAGCCAAATATTTACTTTGGCACCAGCTCCGCAGCAGGGGAGCCGAGGCCCCGGGTAGAGCCTTGTAAGAAAATCGGCCCGAGCTCTGCTATTTCCTCCCCAGCAGGTCCTAACTGCTTTCGATCACACCCAGCTAAGACATCCAAATGACTGCTTAGGTCAGTGTTCCCACCGAGAAGCGGGGAGAGGGGACAGGGGCAGGAGAAGGGCTTGTCAGGGTACCGCAAACAGTCCCCCCAAAAGGGGCAACCCAGGTCCACACTGTTCACAGTCAGGGCCGTAGAAAAGCACTGTGTTGGCCCGAAGCATTTCCGCATGGGGATGCATTCTCACGTCTCTCCCAGGGCCGTACAGGCTCCCCCCACCGGCCCCCTTACTTCATCATCTGCTTTTACAGACTTCAGTGTCATCAGGAGCTGAAAGCGGAGCAGGTTGTTGGTCCCGAAAGTCGGCAGTTCCAGCAGTTTGCACAGCGCCACCAGCTGGGATCGGTCTAAGTGCTCTAGGGCGAGTTGGTCCTCAAAGAGCTTGGAAAAGCGAACTATCTCCTTTGTGCTGGGCTTGTGGCCTGTCTGCACCTAGGCAGTGGGACAGAGAGGATAATAAACATGTGTTGCTTACTCCAAAGAGACACTGCAGCACGCACGGGCTTGGGCCCAGCGCTGTGGCACAGTGAGTGAAGCCCCCACTCGCAATCCTGGCATCCTATATCTGGGTGCTTCTGATCCCGCTTCTTGGGAGAGCAGCGTACAATAGCTTAGCAAGCCACCATGGAGCTGCTGGCTGCTAGCTTTGCCCGGCCTGGCCCAGCCACGGTTGTTGCAGGCACTTGGGGAAATGAGCCAACAGATGGAAGATTTTTCTTTCACACATTTTTTTTTAAACAACAACAACAAAGATTTATTTTTATTGGAAAGGTAGGTTTACAGAGAGAAGGAGAGGCAGAAAGATCTTCCATCTGCTAGTCACTCCCCAAATGGACGCAGCAGCCAAAGCTGAGCCAAGATCTTTTTCCCTCTGTATCTCTCTCTTTCTCCCTCTCCCTCTCTCTGCCTTTCAAACAACTTTTTTTTTTTAAGCAAAAAAGCTTTGTATGGACTCTATTAGTATCTGATGTCTAGAAATGAACCCTGCGGTACAAACAAAGAAATCTGCCTGAAGTCAAAGAGAGTCAACGAAAAGTCAGGCAGGAGTAGTCCAGAAGGGTGCGGCTTGTTCCTTCCAAGAAATTGTTGACTTCAAGGTACTGGTTAGTTGAAGGAGTTTCTGAAAACTTGTATAAATGTTCACCATCCTGTACACGTATGACTTAGATATCTGTGGCTGCAAGGACTGCGAGCCATCTGGAAGGGCGTTGATAATAGGTAACTTTTGTGTTATCACCCAGGCTGGAAGTCACGGGGTATTCTATGAAGCCAGGCACCTGTTTGACGTAGGATGAGAGTTGCGTGGAGGCATCACCCAACTTTGCCTTGTTCCTCCTTGCCATTTCCGTGATGGTTTCTTGAAGGAATTTTGCTACTTCCAACTTTGCGGCCATTTTCTTTCTCTGTTTTTCTTCCTTAACGCATAGAAGGGGAAAATAAAAAAAAAATCAATAAATCTTCATGATTACAAACATGGTAGACAAAGATGAGAAGGGGGCCAGAGCTGTGGCTCACTGGTTAAGCTGCTTGTAACACTGACACCCCACATCCAAGCATCAGATCAAACCCCGGCTGCTCTGTTTCCAATCAGGCTCCCTGCTGATGGGCTGAGAAAGCAGCAAAAGATGGTCCAAGCTCCTGCCACCCGCACGGGAAACCCAGATAGGCTGCTGGCTTTGGCCTGACTCAGCTCAAGCTGTCAAGTGCATCTAGGGAGCGGGTCAGCACACAGACCTTTCTCTCTCAAGTAGTTGAAAACAAATAAACATCGACCAAAAATAACAACTATAATCAAGCTTAAGAGGGTGAAGAAGAAACAAACCTATATATGTTTAAGTTGCCAAGGAGATTCTGATGATCAGTCAATGACAGGAATGATTGACTTTCAGAGATCTTAAGAGGCTGAATCACAGACCTCCCCCCCACCCACACACTACAACTTGTGACTCCATGCCCATCTGAAACTTCTAGTATACAGAAGTATACACAGATTTTAATGAATAATGATAATGCAGTAATTCCACAAATCCATTGTAAAAGTGCAATCAATCAATGCTAGCAGTAAGAGGCCAGCATTGTGCCACAGCCGATCAAGTCGCCGCCTACAATGCTAGCATCCCATCTGGGCATTAGTCATGTTCCGGCTGCTCCACTTCCGATACAGCTCCCTGCTCATGCACCCGAGAAAGCAGCAGAATATGCCCCTACGACCCACATAGGAGATGTGGAAGATGCTTCCGACTCCAGCCTGTGCTCGCCCTGGCTGCTGTGGCCATCTGGAGAATAAACAGCATATTTGGAACCTCTCTCTCTTTCTCTCTCCATCCCTCTATATAAATCAAACAAACCTTCGGGAAAAAAAAAATACCTGTTAAACAAATACTGAAGGGTCCGGTCTGCTGGTTCAATGACTAAATCCTTACTTTACAAGTGCTAGGATCCCGTATGGGTGCCAGTTTGTGTCCCAGATGCTCCACTTTCCATCCAGTTCCCTGCTTATAGCCTGGGAAAGCAATCAGGGATGGCCCAAAGCCTTGGGACCCTGCACCCACATGGGAGTTCCAGAAGAGGCTCCTGGCTCCTGGCTTCAGATCAGATCACCTCAGCTCTGGTTGTTGTGCCCATCTGAAGAGAGAGCCAGCAGATGGAAGATCTTTCTCTCTGTGTCTCTCCTTCTCTCTAAATCTCATCTGCCTTCCCAATAAAAACAAGTTTTTTTTTTTTTTAAAGATTTATTTATTGAGCCCAGAACAATAGCATAGCGGCTAAAGTCCTTGCCTTGAACGAGCCAGGATCCCAAATGGGTGCCAGTTCTAATCCCAGTGGCTCCACTTCCCATCCAGCTCCCTGCCTGTAGCCTGGGAAAGCAGTTGAGAACAGTCTAAAGTCTTGGGACCCTGCACCCATATAGGAGACCTGGAAGGAGGTTCCTGGCTCCTGGCTTTGGATTGGCTCAGCTCCGGCCATTGCAGCCACTTGGTGAGTGAATTAGCAGACAGAAGATCGTCCTCTCTGTCTCTCTTCCTCTTTCTGTATACTGCTTTTCCAAAGATTATATTTTTTATTGGAAAGTCAGATGTACAGAGAGAGGAGGAGGGACAGAAAGGACGATCTTTGTTCGATGGATTCGCTTCCCAAGTGACCGCAACGGCCAGAGCTGTGTCGATCCAAAGCCAGGAGCGAGGAGCTTCTTCCAGGTCTCCCACACGGGTATGGGATCCCAAGGTTGTGGGCTGTCCTTGACTGCTTTCCCAGGCTATAAGCAGCTGGATGGGAAGCAGAGCTGCCGGGATTAGAATTGGAACCCATATGGGATCCTGACACGTTTAAGGTGAGGACTTTAGCCGCTAGGCCCTGGTACCAGGCCTCCCCCACCAAAAAATAAATAAATAAATCTTAAATTCCGGAAGTGAAAACATGCATGGTACTGTCGTCTGACATAACCGCAAAACTTCCTTGCCCAGCTCCTTCTGTGGAAAAAGGCAAACAAAGCATGTTCTGACACTGTGGCCAATTCATCTGTTGATTCAATCTCTACATGGTGGTGATGGCTGTGGGAGGGCTAGATCAAAGCCAGCAACCCAGAGCTCCATCCCTGTCTCCTACAGGGCTGGCGCGGCCCCAAACACTTGAAACATCCTGTGCTGCTTCTGCAGGCGCATCGGCAGGAAGCCGGATCCGAAGCAGAGCAGTCAGAACTCCACGTGTCATCCCATCCAACGTGGGGTGCTGACAGCACAGGCAGCCGCCTCACCCTCTCCCCACAATGTCGGCCCCAAGAGGTGACATTTACATGAACGCTTTTCTTTATGTCTCCTTCTTCCTACATTCCTTGACACTTTCCTTTGGGTGATTTTCTATGATATGAATTCCACATCCTGATGACTTTGTTATTTTTTTAAAGATTTAGTTATTTTTATTAGGAAGGCAGAAACACAGAAAGAAGGACAGAGCGAAAGATCTTCCATGCGATGGTTCACTCCCCAAGTGGCCGCAACAGCTGGAGTCGAGCCAATCCGAAGCCAGGAGCCAACGTGCAGCCAGGAGCCAGGAGCTTCTTCTGGGTCTCCCACGTGGGTGCAGGGTCCCAAGGCTTTGAGCCAACCTCGGCTGCTTTCCCAGACCACAAGCGGGGAGCTGGATGGGAGGTGATGCTGCCAGGACACAGCAGTGCCCACACGGGAACCTGGCGCATGCAAGGTGAGGATTCAGCCACTAGGCCACCACACTGGGCACCATCCTGATGACTTTAAGTAGAAGTAAATTCAACTACTGGCAGAGAGTTGAATATTGTGAGTTGATTTTCAGGTACTGCAAGCATTTAAATGCATCTCACATCGGTCTTGAGGCCTTTTTCCTGTTGTCACGTTCGGCTGCTTCTCCCGTGGACAATTACAGCTGCTACCCAGCCAACTTCCTTCCTCTGCCCTCCTCAGAGCTTCCAGCCAGCAAAACGATTTTTCCAAAACACAGATACAATCATCACCCATCCCTGCCTACAATTTTATTTCCCCAGTTTGCACTGGGGACAGACACACACACACACGTAGATTTTTTTTAAAAAAAAGATTTATTTACTTGAAAGGCAGAGTTAAACAGAGAGACATAAAAGAAAGCTTCCATCTAATGATTCGTTCCCCAAAAGGCTGCAACAGTTAGAACTGGGCCAGTCTGGAGCCATGCACTTCCTCCAGGTCCCCACAGTGGCTTAAGGAGACCAAGCACCCTGACCATCCTCCACTGTCCTCCCAGCACATCAGCGGGGAGCTGGACTGGAAATGGAGTTGCTGGGACTTGAACTGGTGCCCATGTTGATGGTGCCATCACAGGACGCAGCTTTACCTGCTACCCAACAGCACCATCCCTATAGTCCTGGAAAAGCTGTGTATCCCCACACACGCACACGTAACCTACATCTTGACACTACGCTGTTCACAATGCAAAAACTACGAGGCTCTTGTAAGAAAACGGAAAGGAGTTAGCACTGTGGTGTAGCTGGTGAAGTCACCACGGGATACTCACATTCAATAGCAAAATGCCAAGAGGAGCCAATGAGGACTAAAGTATTTGGATCCTTGCCATTCAAACAGGAAACCCACCTTCCCGTTACAGGCATTTGGGAAGATCTCCTGTCTGCATCTGTCCCTTTTTCAAATAAAGTGAGCATAAATATTTTTTAAAAATATTTTTTATAATTGGACTGACTCATTGGCTTAACTGGCTAATCCTGCACCTCTAAGTGCCAGCATCCAACATGACCACTGGTGTGTGTCCCGGCTCCTCCACCTCCCCTCCAGCTCCCTGCCTGTGGCCTGGGAAAGCAGCCGAGGACGGCCCAAAGCCTTGGACCCACATGGGAGACCTGGAAGAGCTCCTGGCTTTGGATCAACTCAGTTCCGGTCGTTGCAGCCACCTGGGAAGTGAACCAGCGGATGGAAGACCTTTATCTCTCCCTTCACTGTGTAAGTTAGCCTTTCCAACAAAAATAAACACATTAAAAAAAAAAAAAACTGACTATAGTATGTCCACATGATTGAACTATTACTCAATGACACAAAGAAATGAGCCATGAAAAGACAGAAAGAGAGGAAAAAAAAAAAACTTCTTTTAAGAATTATTTATTGATGGGCCCGGCACGGTGGCGCAAGTGGTTAAGTCCTCGCCTTGCACGCCCGGGATCCCATATGGGTGCCGGTTCTAATCCCGGCAGCCCCGCTTCCCTTCCAGCTCCCTGCCTGTGGCCCGGGAAAGCAGTCGAGGATGGCCCAAAGCTTTGGGACCCTGCACCCACGTGGGAGACCCGGAAGAGGCTCCTGGCTTCGACCGGCATAGTATAGGCCGTTGCGGCTCACTTGGGGAGTGAATCATCGGACGGAAGATCTTCCTCTCTGTCTCTCCTCTCTGTATATCCGCCTTTCCAATAAAAAATAATAAAAATAAATCTTTAAAAAAAAAAAAAAAGAATTATTTATTGGGCCCAGCGCGATGGCGCAGTGGTTAAGGTCCTCGCCTTGTACGCCCAGGATCCCATATGGGACCCGTTCTAATCCCAGCAATCCCGCTTCCCATCTAGCTCCCTGCCTGTGGCCCGGGAAAGCAGTCCAGGACGGCCTAAAGCACCCGCGTGGGAGACCTGGAAGAGAATCCTGGCTTCGGATTGGCTCAGCTCCAGCCATTGCAGCTGCCTGGGGGGGCGTGAATCATCGGACTGAAGATCTTCTTCTCTGTCTCTCCTCTCTGTATATCCGCCTTTCCAATAAAAATAAAAAACAAATCTTTTAAAAAAAAAGAGAGAGAGAATTATTTATTTATTTACAAAGGCAACGTGACAGAGTGAGGAAAAGCCAGAGTGAGATCTTATACACACTGATTCACTCCTCCAGTGACTGCGGCCGTCAGGGCTGGACCAGGCTGAAGTCAGCAGTCGAGAGCCACATCCTGGTTTTCCCACATAAGGGGCAGGTGCTCCAGCGCGTCACCCATCTTCAGCTACTTTCCCACGTGCCCTAGCAAGGGGCTGGGTTGCCAGGGGAGCAGCCCAGACCTGCACTGGTGCTCCGACATAGGGATGTGCACACGCTCCAGTCAGCAGTTTCACAACACTGGCCTGGGGAAGAATTGTAATCATATGTAAGTGAGGCTATACATAGTGAAACTAAGTGAAGGATGCCAGTTTGAAAAACAAAACAAAACAAAACAAAACAAAACAAAACAAAACAAAACAAAACAACCTTACACTGCGTGAGCCTGGAAAAGGAAGACCTCTAGAGACAATGACGAGATCAGGGTTGCCTCCAGCAGGGACAGACAGGGCAGGCAGCCTGTCCTACAGCAGACTGTGATGGTGAGTACTGGACTTCATGCATTTGTAAAATCCACAGGCCTGCCCGACACAGAGTGAACCCCAAGGCCAAGGAGGCATCAGCTTTCAGGGTTCCTTAATTGTAACAAATAGACCCCAGGCAAGCAAGGTGTTGGAGGGCAGGGACGAGTGCTGGGTGGGAGCTCTGACTTCTGAGGAATTTGTCCCTAAACCCAAACACTGCTCTCAAAAGAGTTTTTTGGGGTTCCTTTTCTTCCCCTCCCCCCTCCCTCCCTCCCTCCCTTCCTTCTTTCCTTCCTTCCTTCCTTCCTTCCTTTTTAATGAAAGGTTTAAAAACATTCCTACTTACCTTTTTGGATTCACTTTCAAAAGTTGACGGTAACATTTCTGGGAAGAGCTTCAGAAACACTGGTAATAAGAACTCCATAAAAGGAACAATGATAAACACCATAAACGGGACGAGGCGAAAGAAATCTACACAGGTTCTCAGGAGCTAATGAAGGAAATGCAGAGGAAACATTACGATAGGACACTGCGACACGTCAACAACACAGCAAGCCAGTGTCCGCCTTGTTCTTCCGGGGTTAAACACTCAAGGCAAGTGTTGGGATGCACCAGGCAAAGCCACCACCTGTAACATCAGCATCCCATACGGGTGCCAGCTCCTGCCCCGATCCAGCTTCCTGCCAGTGTACCTGGGGAGGCAGCAGAGGCTGGCCCAGGTGTTTGGACACTGCCATGCCCATGGCAGACAAGTGTGTAGCTCCTGACACCTGGCTTTAGCTTGGTATAGCCCTGGCCAGTGTAGCCATCTGCATGATCAGCAGGTGGACAATCTCTGTCTCTCTTCCCCTGTCTCTGTAATGTTGACTTTCTAATAAACAAATTATTTACATATATATATATAATTTTCCTTGTTTTATTTATTTATTGATCAATTTATTTTTTTAAAGATTTATTTTATTTTTATTGGAAAGTCAGATATACAGAGAGGAGAGACAGAGAGGAAGATCTTCCGTCCGATGATTCACCACCCCACCCCACCCCACCCCCCACCCCCGGCGGCGCAACGGCCGATGCTATGCTAGTCCGAAGCCAGGAGCCTCTTCCAGGTCTCCCATGCGGGTGCAGGGTCCCAAAGCTTTGGATTGTCCTAGACTGCTTTCCCGGGCCACAGGCAGGGAGCTGGATGGGAAGCGGGGCTGCCGGGACTAGAACCAGCGTCCATATGGGATCCCGGGCGTGCAAGGCGAGGACCTTAACCACTGCGCCACCGCGCCGGGCCCCCGATTTGTTTTATTTTTATTGCAAAGTCAGATACACAGAGAGGAGGAGAGACAGAGAAGAAGATCTTCTGTCCGATGATTCACTCCCCAAGTGACTGCAACGGCCAGAGCCGAGCTGATCTGAAGCCAGGAGCCAGGAACTTCCTCTAGGTCTTCCACTTGGGTGCAAGGCCATCCAAGGCTCTGGGCCATCCTTGACTGCTTTCCCAGACCACAAGCAGGGAGCTGGATGGGAAGTGGAGCATCTGGGACACAAATTGGCACCCAAATGGGATTCCTTAAATCCCTCATGCAAGAGGATTTAGCCACTAGTATATTGTGCCTGGCCCATCATAGTATTTCTTAAAAAGAGTATGCTTAATAGATTCACAACAGTTGGTGCCTTAAATGAACAGATTAAACCTAAAGCTTCGCAGCTCCCCAAAGAGATTAAAAAACACAATTACAATGATCTTGTAGGAAATACATAATAACCTCAAGGATACTGTCTAAGGTGTAGACACGTGAGAAGCTCCTAAGAAACCGTTCTCGCCAGGAGTCATTAGTTCCACTTAGGAACTTCTCTCTCTCTCTCTTTTTTTTTTTTTGAAAGATTTTTTTTTTTTTTTATTGCAAAGTCAGATATACAGAGAGGAGGAGAGACAGAAAGGAAGATCTTCCGACCAATGATCCACTCCCCCAAGTGACCACAATGGCTGGTGCTGTGCCAATCTGGAGCCAGGAGCTCTTCTGGGTCTCCCACATGGGTGGAGAATCCCAAGGCTTTGGGCCGTCCTCGACTGCTTTCCCAGGCCACAAGCAGGGAGCTGGATGGGAAGCAGAGTTGCCGGGATTAGAACCGGCAGCCCATATGGGATCCTGGTGCGTTCAAGGCGAGGACTTTAGCCGCTAGGCCACCACACCAGGCCCAACACTTGGGAAGTTTTAAGATGAAGTTGAAAGCTTTGTGAACGGTCCACTTTACTTGCATATTCTCTTTCTCGAAAAGAATGATTCGTGCCTACCCTCCGTCTCTCTCGTCGGGTCAGCACCTGCCCGTGCAACAGCCTCCAAACCATTCTGGTGGCAACTTTGCTGTCGATCCAGAGCAGATAGAACCCATTGTAGTAATATCTGAGTTCATCCAGGATCCTCTGCCTGTAGGATCGCTTTCCTTCTGCGGTGGCCTCAGGGCTGCCCCCCTGCGGCTTTTCTGGGGATCGCCCCGGCTGGGGTTTCCCAGAATCCTCCTGGAGCCAGCAGGTGGATGTGCACAGCTTCCGAGTTAGTTGGGTTTGTAGGCAGAGCATCCTGTGGCCCAACAGCCTGGGACAGGTGTACCTTCTGCTTCCGGAGTTCTTCGTGTACGCCCGTACAGGGGCTCCTGGCCAGTGCAGAGACACGAGGGATGGGGAAGGAGAAGAGCGTGGAGGGTGCACAAAGCAGATGGGGAGCCTGGAAGAGAGAGCAGTTGCCTCTGAGTTGAGCACACGTGACTACAAACTGAAAAACTGAAGACACACAAGTTGTATTTGAGAGAAGGCAATGCTTTTTAAGCCTTTAGAAGTGGCTGGTGCCCGTTAAAGGAGTGAAACGTAACTTCTGACACTCTAGGGTTGAATGACATACTCTTGCAGAAATATGAATAAATTGATTCCTGAGAATAAATTGCTTTGTTTGAAGTTAGAAAATTCTGGGGCCGACACGGTGGCTCAACAGGCTAACCCTCCACCTGCAAGCACTGGCATCCCAATGTGGGCGCCACTCTGTGTCCTGGTTACCCTGCTTATGGGTTGAGAACACAGCAGAGAATGGCTCAGGCCCTTCAGGCCCTATATCCATGTGAGAGACCCAGAAAAAACTCCGGGGTCCTGATCCACCCAGCTCTGGCCGATTTGGGAAGTGAATTAGTGGATGGAAGATCTTTCTATCTCTCCTCTCTGTAAATCTGCCTTTCAAATAAAAGAAATTAGAAATTCTTTTGACTCTTCACTAAAAAGAAAAAAGAAGAAGAAGAAAAAAAAATTGTTTGGGGCCTGGGACGCTAGTGTAGTGGTTAAAGTCCTCGCCTTGAACACGCCAGGATCCCATATGGATGCCTGTTCTAATTCCAGCCAACCTGCTTCCCCATCCAGCTCCCTGCCTGTGGCCTGGGAAAACAGAGGAGGATGGCCCAAGGCATTGGGACCCTGTACCCACATGGGAGACCCAGAAGAGGCTCCTGGCTCCTGGCTTTGGATTGGCTCAGCTCCAGCCATAGTGGTCACTTGGGGAGTGAACCATCAGACGGAAGATCTTCCTCTCTGTCTTTCCTCCTTCCGAATATCTGACTTTGCAAATAAAAAAAAATCTTAAAAAAAAATAAAATTGATTGGCATTTTTCCTGATAAGTGCTATATTGACATTTTTTTTCTCTAGCTACCATCATAAAAAAAGACGATAGCCACTCTCCTGAAAAAGGGTTTGCTGAGGAAACATTTCAAGATATCTGTGGGGATTACAGCTTTATCGGGGGGTGACTATAAATGCCAGCAAACAAGAGGCACTGAGAGATGAGTGTTACCCAGGATCCCTCCAGAACCCGAGCGATCTACCCCAGCCTGGGGGTGGACACAGGGGGCGCCAGCACCCTGGATTGGAATGCTGGTTTGAGTCCCGGGCGCTCCACTTCCAATCCAGCCTCCTGCTCACGTATCTGGTAAGGCAGCTGGTGCCAGGCCGGAACGTGGGTCCCTGCCTCCCATATCAGGGAGACCTGGGTGAAGATCCTGACCCCTGGCTTCGGCCTGGCCCAGCCTGGCAGCTGCAGGCACGTGGGGGAGTGGATCAGGGCACAGAAGGTCTCGCCCGGCCACTCATCTCTACGTTGTAATGGGGAAATAGTCACCATTTTCCTCAAAGCCAGTACAACAGATTGTTTGAGAGTAAAATGACCAGGCCAAAAAACAAAACAAAACAAAAAAATTATTGGCAAAGTCATTTCTTTTGGCCAAAAAGATGATTTTCCCAGCTTTTCAGACTATTTTTAAAGCATGCCAAAAGAAAAGGAGGAACAACAGCAAAAACCCTTCAGATAGCCAAAAGGGAAAACGTACAATGTATTTGGCACAGAGTAAGTTTTCATGGATGCTCTGACAAAGAACTAAGTGATAGCAGGCCTAACTGGGGCTGGAACACATCCTAGCAGGCAGGTCTGCCGCTGTCCGTGTCTTCCACATCGCGTCCCTCACTAAACAGGTGTCACTCCAAAACCGCCTCCTCTCTCTCACCTGTAACCAGCAGCGACAACATTGGTCTGAACACTTAGGCAACGTGGAGTGAATTCAGGTACGTTCCCTGAAAACCAACCTAGTTAACACCAACGGCTGGACTTGTGTAATCCTTACACATTTATTGAAAAACAAACAAACAAAAAAAAGGACATAGGCACATATGGATTCATGCTTACCGGGTTCGGACAAGAGTTAGAAACGAATTGTAACTGTACAAAGCCATATTTACTTTTTTTCTCCATCAGTCAACATAGGGACCTAGGGAGACAGCAGATAAGGCAGCGTTACACACACACATCAAGGCAAAGGGGTTGAGAAAAGTGTATTTTTAGCTACTGCTAAGGCAACGTATTTAGGTGCACAATTTCCAAATTCCTTGCCAACAATCCTGAACCATATTCTCTAAGCTTTACAGAAATAATCCCTTAGACAAAGATGGCTTGCTTGTTTTAAGACAGGTTGACTCCTGGGTGAGAAGTACTCAGCCATTTCACTGGAATAGTTACAAGGATTTTTACAAGAAGAGAGAGCAACACACTTTATCTGGGGCGACCAGGTGAAAAAGCCAATGTTCTGGATTTGTTCCCGACAAGCTTGCCACTGCCACCCTGTACCTGACCAAGCTGCCCTAAACCGTCAAGGACACACTCAGTCACCTCATTTATTCGCCAGCAAAGACACTTGAGGGTTTCTCAGAGCCCGGAGTGTGCCTTCCAGCCAGGGGGCAGCGAGCAGTAGCAGGTGCCTCCTGGACGCTGGGAGGGGGGGTGCACACAACGGGTGCCCTGGCCTGGGAACCCCGACTACGGCTAGGAGGCTAGGACGGTGGACAGAGGCTTCAGAACCCTTGAACCCAGACTAACGGTGGAGGGGAGACGCGGACCTGCTGCGGCCGTTGATGGACTCGCCCACACTGGGCTGCGGTGGCCACCACTCCCAGGGCCGGCCCTGCTCGGGTCGGGGCGCAAGGGGAGCCGCGCCCAGGGATCCTGGGGTTGCCCAGGGGGCCCGGGGTTACCGTCGGGCCTGGGGTTACCGTCGGGGCCGGGGTTACCGTCGGGGCCGGGGTTACCGTCGGGCCTGGGGTTACCGTCGGGGCCGGGGTTACCGTCGGGGCTGGGGTTACCGTCGGGGCTGGGGTTACCGTCGGGGCCGGTGCCAAGCGCGACCCCCGCACCCTCCGGGGCGCGGTGTGTGTGGTGGTCGTGCTGCGGAGGTCTGGGCAGAGGGGTAGCAGTGGGACGTGGGCCGAGGGCGGCGTGAGCAGGCACAGGAACGACGCCCCTCGAACGTGAGCGGGGCCACTGGAAGCACAGACCAGGACAAGTGGGGCGCAGGGGAGGGAGGAAGGCGGAAGGCAGGCTGGAGCAGCTGCGTCTGGGCACGGCCGAGGGCAGGGGGCTGGGCCACCCTGTGGGAGACCCGGGAGGGCTAGGCGCTGGTGGGCCCCGCACCCCTACCTGCCCGGCTGACCCCTACTTCCTCGGCTGACCCCTACTTCCTCGGCTGACCCCTACCTCCCTGGCTGACCCCTACCTCCCCGGCTGACCCCTACCTCCCCGGCTGACCCCTACCTCCTCGGCTGACCCCTACGTCCCCGGCTGACCCCTACTTCCTCTGTTGACCCCTACCTCCTCGGCTGACCCCTACCTCCTCGGCTGACCCCTACTTGCCCGGCTGACCCCTACCTCCTCGGCTGACCCCTACCTCCTCGGCTGACCCCTACCTCCCCGGCTGACCCCTACCTCCTCGGCTGACCCCTACTTGCCCGGCTGACCCCTACCTCCTCGGCTGACCCCTACCTCCTCGGCTGACCCCTACGTCCCCGGCTGACCCCTACTTCCTCGGCTGACCCCTACCTCCTCGGCTGACCCCTACTTCCTCGGCCTCGCTGCCCGGCCCTCCCAGGGTGCTCCGGGGCCGCGAACCCCCACTCTCGAGGCCCCACCGCGGACCCTCGCCTCGTGACGTCACGGAATGACGACACCGGCCACCAATGAGCTCCGCGCACTGCAGCACCTGCGGAAGCGACACCGTTTCCCGCGGGCTTTGCTTTTGGGAGCGTTTGGCGCTGCGGGCTTGGACACCCTGTGCTCCTGTTGGGCTGCGGGGGCTGCCCGGAAAACCAGCAAAGGGCTGGTGGTCGCCATGGTGACGAGCTCACGCATGGCATCACCGGCGTGCCCTCCTCCCCCTCGCAGCCTTCCTCCAACTCTGAACATACTTAGGGGGCCGAAGGGACGGGAATGGGAAAGGATTCAAAAACCTCCACATCCTTGTCACGACTCCAGGGTCCGGGGCTGGAATGCCGAGAAAAGCTTCATGGAGAAATCCGAATTCCGCTCGAGAGAGCTGTAAGTGTTCTAGCAGGTGTTGGTTATGGTCCGTCATTGTGTGGAAATCGCAGCGATTAAAGTGTGTTTTACCACGGGAGCTGGGAGATGACATGCACACTGCAGGTTCGGGGACTTGGGGGGTGGACAACTGAGACATCAAATTGACAACCTGTACAGAATCTGATTATTCAGTTATCTTTTCCCATGTCACCTGGCTCTCCTTACATTTTTTTTTTCAAGTTTATTTAGAAATTTTTGTCACAGGTCTCCCAGCTGCCGGGCTGAAGCCAGGAGCCGGAACTCCATCCGGGTTTCCCAGGTGGATGGCAGGGACTCAGCACCTGTTCTCCCGGTGGCATTAGCAGGGAGATGGGGGTGAGCAGGCCTTGAAGCAGGCAGGCATGGGACGCTGGCTGCCTAGGGAGCTGAAAGTGGCGCTGTGCGGTGCCCTCCGGCCCTCATGTTGCAGAAAAACAAACACTGCAGTTCCTGTCCTCCGACGCCAGACACCAAGGAAATGGCTTTCTCACGGTGAATACGGCCTGATTCCGGAGGAGCTGACCACAGACTTGACTCATCCGGGCTGCACGTTCGTGTGAATGAAAAGACGGCGAGGATCAAGTTTCAGTAAAATCACCAAGACTGCTCTGAGTCCACAAAACATTTGATTTGTTTAAGAAAGTATTTTTGAACCAAATAGGCTCCACTGTAGGAAACAGCGGAAGTTCCCGGCTCGGCCACTAGAGGGCCCTTGTTGCATGCGTGATGTCCCACTAGGTTTCACTCTGAGCTCCGTTTCCTAAGTCGGAATTCACAAAGGTTTACGTTTTTTACCTTTGGTCTCATGGAAATATCTGATGATAACTTTGGAGTTCTGAAGGACGTCTACAAGTTCCGGCACTAATCTCATATAGGTAGCCACTCTACTGCCATATAATGGATAGGTACTTTTCCGGAAAAGATTGTAAGGGATGCAAAAATATTCCGCTCAGTTCCCTGGGAGACATTTTATCCCAGGGAACTATTCTTACTCCCAGCATTGTGCTCACTTACTCCCAGTCGATGAAAATCATTAAGTATTCATAAACCAGATGAATGACTCCAAGCCCCGTATTTGAAAGATGAGCTAGGTTTTCTGTCATGGCCATATGTCAGCGATCCTATTCTTAAAAGCCAACCCTTCACTCTGAAATACATTTGTTCAAAGCAGTCTCTCTCTCTCTCTCTTTTGTTTTCAGGCTTGGTAATTTGTTTGGGTTCCAGGATCAGTGATTTATCATATAAGGAGTTTTGTATATAACTTTCAGAGGAGAAACCAAAACATTTTTTTTTTCGCCTCTACAACTCTGGCGCTGGAAATTGTGTTAGATTAAGTTTGCTTTTTTTATGCAAAAGAGTAAACAGATTCCAAATCTTGTAATTGGTAGCTGGTGATGATGTAACTTATTTCTAAGGCTGAGAGAGAGAATGGATCTCTTCCATCTTGTGGTCCACTCCCCAGCTGTCCCTAAGTGCTAGTTCTGGGTCTCCCCTGTGGTTGGCAAGGGCCCAGGCACTTGGCTCTTTGCTCCCTCATAGGTCAGATCAGCAGGACGCTAGATGGCAAGCAGAGAAGCCCAGGCACGAGTCAGGCTCTGATACTGGAATCAGGCACCCCAAAGGTAGTTTTACCCTCCGCACCACTGCACCCACACTTAAATCATTGTCCTCATGACCATTTTCTTAAATGTGGCTCCACCTAAAGTGTTATTCACCAAAATGTTGCAAAGAAGGGACCATACGTCTACTTCACACAACGTAAGCTTTAAGCTCTTGGCAGCGTGATTCAATGCAGGCTAGTATAAAATACTTGAGAACAATTCACCTGATTCCTCTCAGGGAGAAAATCCAGGCGTCAACTCCATGCACGGTCTATCAGTGAAGAGGAAAAGGAGCATGGGAAAAGGTTGGGGGCAGAAAGAGCCACGGGGAGGCGAAGGAAAGCGCTGGGCACTGGCTTGTGTCCTGGCTTGTGCCCTGGCTGCCCCACTTCCCATCCAGCCTTGTGCTTCTGGCCTGGGAAGCAGCAGAAGGTGACTCAGGGCTGGCCCTTCACCCACAGGAGACATCTGGAAGAAGCTCCTCGCTTTGGTTCCGCCCATTTCGCTGGTCATTGCAGCCATCTGGGGAGTGAACCAGCAGATGCAAATCTGTTTCCTCTCTGTGAATGTGGCTTTCCAATAAAATAAATAAATCTTTAAACAACAACAACAACAACAAAAATAAAACCACTGCTTCAGGAAGCAGACTAAAACGAAACCTAGACGTCGCTCTCTGGCCACCTGCATTTCAAAAAGGTGTATTTTGGGGCCCAGTGCAGTAGCCTAGCGGCTTAAGTCCTCAACTTACATGTACTGAATTTCCATATGGGCGCTGGTTCTAATCCTGGCTACTCCAATTTCCATCCAGCTCCCTGCTTGTGGCCTGGGAAAACAGAGGAGGATGGCCCAAATCTTTGGGACCCTGCACCCACGTGGGAGACCTGGAGGAGCTTCTGGCTCCTGGCTTCGGATTGGAACAGCCCCGGCCGTTGTGGTCCCTTGGGGAGTGAATCATCGGACAGAGGATCTTCCTCTCTGTATATCTGACTTTGCAATATAAATAAATAAAATAAGTGATTTTTTAAAAAGGAGTATTTCTAAGTTATTTGTTAGAAAAACTCTGCCTCTTATGGATCCCTCCAGCTTCGTTAGTATGATGATGATCTTACCAGCATCACCCTTAGTGAAACTGTCGGGGGGTGTTTTCAAACATACAATTAGTGGCTGTGAAAATAAGTGATCTGTAGGTGTCTTTTCTTATACAAGACTGTCTCGGAGCGGTATTGCATAGAGCCAGCCCTGAAGAGTATGACATCAGCTAGCGCTATAATGACTAGGAACAGCATGACATCATGCCAGCAGTGTAAGGACTTAGGGGGTGTATGACGTCACAGCAGCACTGTCAGGACTGGGGAGTGTATGATGTCACAGCAGCACTGTAAGGACTGGGGAGTGTATGACATCACAGCAGCACTGTCAGGACTGGGGAGTGTATGACGTCACAGCAGCACTGAGGACTAGGGAGTGTATGACGTCACAGCAGCACAGTAAGGACTAGGGAGTGTATGACGTCACAGCAGCACTGTAAGGACTAGAAAGTGTATGACGTCACAGCAGCAAATAAGGACTAGGGAGTATATGACGTCACAGCAGCACTGTAAGGACTGGGGGTGTATGACGTCACAGCAGCACAGTAAGGACTGGGGAGTGTATGACGTCACAGCAGCACAGTAAGGACTGGGGAGTGTATGACATCACAGCAGCACTGTCAGGACTAGGGAGTGTATGACGTCACACGAGCACTGTAAGGACTAGGGATGGTATGATGTCAAGCAGCAGGTGTTCCTTCGGCCGCTGCTTGCCCCGTTCACGGCCCCCGCGTGTGGCGCAGCCGGCTCCAGAACAGCGCCCTGCTGCTGGTGTCGCACCTGGGACCTGCCATTGCTTCACACGTTTGGGAGGAGGCCAGGGCGGTTCCACAGGCCCGTCTCGGCGCGGGACAGACGCCCTCAGTCACCGCCTGGATGACAGGGGCAGCCGGGGGGTGCGGGGAGGCCAGGGAGCACCCCACGCGTGACGGGGGTCCCCCGAGAGGTGCCGGGGCGCAGTGGGCGCTGACGTCCTCCGGTTACCCACAAGCCTCCAGGCTCGCCATGTGAGCAGGAAGGAGGCGCGCGCCTCCGGGGTGCGGGGAGAGGGGACCCTAGGAACTCGCCACGCGCTCCCCAACGCGCCCGCGGCGGCCACTCCCACCGCGCGCCCACCGCCCGGGGAGGCGCCTGCGACCCCCAGGGCTGCAAGCGCGTCGACAGGCTGCGAAGGGCTGGCCCAGGGCGCCCCGAGAGGAACAGGAAGTGCTGCCCTTCCTGACAGCTGTCGCGCCGGAGACAGACGCGGGGACGCCCCCCGTTCTGATCAGACCGCGTACCGGGGTCTTGCAGGGTCTTCTGTCAGGTGTCACTCTGAGGAGACCCAGATGTGTTGCTAGTCTCCACGCGGGCACACTTTACCTCACGGGCCCAAACCTCGAGCCGTGTCTGGTTCTGCGTCGTCCTCCACAGCTCCTTCCTGCCTCTCCGCCCCAACGCCCCCACAGCCTCCCCTCCCGGGGTCCCGCCGTCCCGCCGTCCCGCCTCCGTCTTCCTCCTTTCGCCCCCTGCGCGCCCAGCCAGGACTACATCTCCCGGCAGGCGCCGCGGCCGGCAGCCAATGAGCGGCTGAGGATTTGGCGGCGGCGGCGGCGGCGCCCCGGGAGCCGGGGTGGGGGGGCTTTGTGCGCGGCGGCGGCGGCGGCGGCGGGCGCGGGCGCGGGAGCGGGCGGCGGCGGCCAGCACGGAGGCGGAGGTCCCGGGGCGCTGTGCACGACGCCGCGGACGGGCGTGCGAGTTCCAAGTCCAGCCCGGAGGACCGTGCTTGCCCGGGCCGAGACGCCAGCCCCAGGCTGCTCCCTCCCTGCTCGCTCGCTCGCTCGCTCGCTCGCTCTCTGGCAGCCCCGGCTGCGCAGCGACCCCCCAGCCCCTCCGCCTCCCCTTCCCCACCCCACGTCCCACAGTTTTTCCCTTCTTGCCTCCTCCACCCCCAGCGCGCCCGGCCCTGCCCGGCCGTGGCCCAGCTCGGTGCCGGCCGCCATGGCAGAGGCGTCCGACGCGGGGGAAATCTAGCCCGGGGATTTCATGAGGCCTAGTCTGGTTCCGCGTCCTCCCCCCGCGGCCCCGGCTGCTGCCTGCACCTCAGCCTCACTCCGGGCCTCCGTGTCTCTCCTGTGATCGTAGCTGACACGGCCGGGGGGTTAGAATGGAACAAACTGAAGGTAAAGTGCGTGTGTGTGTGAGAGTGAGATCGCGTACGCGCCGCGCGCGTCTGTGGAATTGCAGAGGAGAGCTGAGGAGGGACGAGGTGGGAAGGGGCGACCCAGGAAAAGGAGGAGTCGCCCGGGGGTCCTGAGCCGGTGCAGGGGCAGTCCGGACGAGAGGAGCAGAGGGCCAGCTTGGGGGGGTGTGTGGTGTGTAAGGGCTGGGGCGGGGGGAGGTGGGGCGCGGGACGCAGGTTTGGGATGAGATGTAGTGGCGCTGAGCTGGGAATTGGGAGTAAGGTGGGATGGGGGCGGGGATACAGATGGGGACGGGGGGAGGGGATGGGAGCGAGGGGCCAGAGTTGGATTCGGTGGTCCGAGGACCCAGAAATGAGGGAGGTCGCGGGGAGGGGATGGAGTGTGGGAAGCTGGGGAGTCTGAGGTGGATAGAATGTGATAGATGCTTGGGGCATCCAGGGAGCAACCGGGGCATGGAAGTGGAGGAAAAGATGGGCTGGAGAAAGGGATGGAGGTGGGAGAGGCGGGATGCCGTGGGGAGGTGGGCTGTGGGCGCAGGACCCTGGAGGACAGGGCTGGGTGAGGGGAGGGCGTGGGGGCGAGTGGGCGCGGGGTCGTCCCGGTGTTGGGAAGGGAAAAGCCTTTTGTTCTGCTGTTTGTGTCCCTTTTGGGGCCCGCTTCTCTCCAGGCTCGAGCCGGGGTGGGAGGAAGCTGGTGCTTCTGAGGTCGGGATTGTTGTGAAATGGGGGAGGTGTGGGTTCCGCCGCTTCCGAGGGGAGAGGGACCGTGTTTGTGTTCTGGTAGGGAGACAGCGAGAGGCATGGTCCCAACTGGATGGTTTTGGTGAAGGAGTGGAGAGCCTGTTCCGATTTAAAGGGGGCCGGGGCAGCCATGTTTGCTGCCAGGCACTGCAGTGTAAATAAATTCCTTTTCCTTGCGAGCCTCAGTATGGATCTGGCAGGGGCCGCCTCAGATTGTTAACCCCGGTGCCTGCTGTTCAACCAACTCCTTTCCCTTACGTCTGGGTCCTTTGAAATTATTCATAACTGCCAAACGAGGTAGTGATGTTTTCCATCTTGTGTGTTTTGCTGCTTCCCCCCCTTCTTCTCTCTTCCCTCTTCCTTGTGGTTGCAAACAAGGCATGCTGATGAACTGCAGCGTAAAATGTAATCCCTTTTTAATATTTAAAACTGGCTTTTTGCTCTCTGAAGGAGTCACTACTACTCTCAAGCAGCGAACGCGATCTTCCAGTGCCTGCAAAAATGCATTTGTTTCAGAAGCCGTCAACATGTTGGTTTTTTTTTTTTTCTGTGTGTGTGCAATTCTTTAAGTAAACAAGGAAATTGCTTCAGTTATTTTACTTGGGCCCGTGCTCCTGGCCGGGCAGAGCTGCTGGTGGGAGCCGATCGGCTTGGTGTGTGTTCTCACTGTCGGAAAATCAGAACATCGCCAGATCCCTGCTTACAGTTGATAATGGGTGTGTTCAGAAAACAATTTTTTAAAAATAAACTCTTCCTCCTCTCTCCGCCCCCCCCCCCGCCACCTCCCCCGCCACCTCCTTCCCTTTCTTTGCTTTCAAGTAGCTGGCGTACTACAGCCTCCAGGTGCCAGGTCAGCACAGTGCAGTGCTCTGGAGTTTTCAGAAGCTCAGGGATTACCAGGGGGTGGGGGTGGGCCCTTAAGGTGGCTCTCAGAAAAGTGACAGTAACTAACGCATTCAAATGAAGTACTTGTGGGATTTGATGTAATGGACCTTCTGAAGGTTCAACCCTGCCACATGTGTACAGTTAGAGTTGTATTTTCATAATGAAAAGGATTAAATGTGTGTGTGACCTTTTGTTTTTATGAGTTGAATTGGGATGATCCGAACTTTAGTCCATCATACTGAGCTGTCCCTGCTCTGCATGTACCAGGAAGGCCTGTTAGAACGGAAAAGATGAAGGGCATAGTGACTTCATCTGCCTTAATGCTGATAGCTTAGCAGGTGTTAATTAGAATGTAGTCTTGGTTTGTTGGAAGAATTCAATTGAATCTTGTTAGAATGGTACTATGTGAGAGTGCTTTGATTATTATCCAGACTCAGTTTGGGGCTCAGCATCATAGCGTAGTGGTTGAAGGCCTTGCCTTGAAAGCACCGGCGTCCCATATGGTTGCCCGTTCTAATCCCAGCAGCCCTGCTTGCCATCCAGCTTCCTGCTTGTGGCCTGGGAAGGCAGTTGAGGATGGCCCAAAGTCTTGAGACCCTGCACACATGGGGGAGACCTGGAAGAGTTCCTGGCTTCTGACTCCTGGCTTCTGATTGGCTCAGCTCCGGCTGTTGCAGCCGCTTGGGGAGTAAACCATCTGACGGAAGATCTTCCTCTCTGTCTCTCTTCCTCTTTACATATATCCGCCTTTCCAATGAAAATAAGTAAATCTTAAAAAAAAAGAAACTCAATTTGAAACTTGCCATATTTTGACTCAGTAATGTTGTGTGTTAATTTTTTGAAATTCACAGGAAAAGTTCCATTCAGCGTACTTTTTAATTTGGTGTTTTTATTTTTTTCTGTGACAAAAAATGGAGTAAAATATTTCCTTTAAAATGTTTTACGTTATTTTTCCTGTGGTTTACATATTTGAGAGGGATGCACAACCATGTGGGCCTCCCATTAGGGCGGGGAGGTTCGAGGTGTGGAGGAAAGTGGGTGGGACAAAGGTTTCAGTTCTTTTTTTACTCTGCTTGTTTGCTGGGGGTGGGGGGAAGGGTAAGGGGACCCTTCCTTGCTGTCAGACTACATCAGCACCCAGGGATGTGGGGGACAGTTATTTGATGATGCCTTAGAGACCTCAGTATGGGGAAGAATGTTCCGGGGTGTTACTTGAGTGGTTTTGATAGTTCTGAGACCTTGTTGCTTCATTGCAACAGGGCTGAGAAAATCTTTCCAAGGTCTGTTGGCTGACCAAGTCCACCTCCATGTACATCCATAGTTCTAGACACTTGATGCAGAGCGTGGCCAGGAGAGAGGTCCCTCCTCTGGCAAGGCACTCAGTGTCTTCTGCTGGCTGAGATGAACTGGCTCTCATGTCCTCCTTGTGCACCAGGGCATCACATCCGTTGTACAGGCATCAGCAACTGAGGAGGCCCAGTCCTCATACACTCCAAGGTTGGACCACGTATCTCGTGTGATTTTTCTCTGTGGTCAGGATTTGAGTCCAGCGTTCCAGTTGGGGAGTCCCCCAAGAAACCTTGCCTGGGATGACCTCAAACTTAATTCTTGTGTGTGCCAGCTAGCGTAGGGTCCAGTTCAGTCTGTTTCCTGCCCCAGCCAATGCACATATTGGTGAATGCAGCTGCCTGATCAGTTCTGCCCCCAGCCCCGTCTCATATGAGCTGGCCTAGTCCAACTCAGCCCAGCACAGGCCCAGTGTTCACGCACGCCAGTAGGTGCCATGCCCTAGTGGAGGCAACCCGTAGTAACTCCCATCAGGCCCACACCCAGCCCCGATTTTTACGTGTGCTGGTATGTACTGAGCCATAGCCTAGTCTGACCCTTGTCCCATCTGACTCTCGTGTATGACCCGCCCCCAGACATGACCCACATGTGTGCTGATGGGTGCTTCAGCCTTAACCAATATGGCCCAGCCTTATCCCCGGCTCTCATGCCCACCAGCAGGAGCTTCAGCCCAAAATGGGAGTGCAGTTCCTCTAGCAGGCCTGTCCCTCCCCCGAAACTCGTGCCTCCCAGGGGATACTACAGTCCAACCTGACATAACTTGCAGCCAGTCCCAGCACTTGCCTGTTGGTGTTATGGCCTAACTAGCTGGACCACAGCCATTTTGTCTTTCTCGTGCCAGCAGTTAGAGCAGCCTAGCCCATCCTGGCTGGACCTCAGAGCCAGCCCAAACGCCAGCTGATGGGTGCTGCAGCCCTGCCCGGCCCACCCTCAGTGCCAGTTCTCACACTTACCAGGGGAAGCAGTGACCCAGCAGGGGAGTCTCTGAGGTTCTCCTTCCAGACCTGCTCCCAGCCCTAGGTGTTACGATCGCCAGTATGTGCTGCAGCCCACTCTGAGATGACCTGTTTCCAGTCTTGGGCATTTGCTAATAGATGCTGTGGCCCAGCTCAGCCCAACCTGCCCCAGTTCCATCTCTTATTGGCAGGTGCAACAGCCTAGCCCAGTCTGATCTGCTCCCAACACCAGCCTTCATGTGAACTGGTGGCTGTTGCAGTCCAACCTGACCTGCACCCTGTCCTAGCTCTTGCTCATGCCAGTGTGTGGTGAGAACTGGCCTAGCATGGCC